AATATTACCAAAAAACACAGAAAGGAATTTGAAAAACAAATAAAGAGCACTTAGAGCGAAATCCTCCTTAGTCAGGAGGACTCGGCCTGCCATGGCTATTGTCACCTCAATAGAGGCCTGGAGTTTGATCCTCTGGAGAGGCTTCTGAATGGATGGATGCCAAGCACATACCCTAACCCAAAACATAGCTAGAACACTTAAAACTAACCCACTGAAGCTACTGGGAGTCCCAGTGCCAAGCACATGCCCAGATCCAATCTGTACTGTTCACAGACAAAAACCCTGACCCTAATCTTAAACCTAACCCTAACCTAGCCTAACACCAGACCCATCAGTAACCGAAACCAAACACTAACCCCTAGTCCATAATCCATATACCTAACCCTGATTCCAAGTATAACTGTAAAGTAAACCCTAACACTCCAACCCAAACCCCTATCCCTAACGCCTAACCGTAACCCCTAACTGTAACCCCTAACCCCTGACCCTAACTCTGACCCAAACCCTAACCCTAACTCCTGACCCTAACCCCGAACCCCTAATCCTGACTCTCACACCTAACCCCTAACCCTATCCCTAACCCCTAACCCAACTCACCCTAAATCTAACCGTAACCCTAACCCTAACCCTAACCCTAACCCTAACCCTAAACCCTAACCCTAACCCTAACCCTAACCCTAACCCCTAACCCTAACCCTAACCCTAACCCTAACCCTAACCCTAACCCCTAACCCTAACCCTAACCCTAACCCTAACCCTAACCCTAACCCCTAACCCTAACCCTAACCCCTAACCCTAACCCCTAACCCTGCCCATGGCGAGTACCCGGACGCATATTTCCTCGGAGGGTTTCACGCACCATCATTATTGGCTGTGTTTGGTTGCAGCACGATGCAGGAGGACCCGGAGACCCTGCTGCCCTTCAAAGGGCCAGTATCGTGGCCCAGTACCATCAGGTGAGGCCCAGAAGGGATATAGACACTACACACCCATGACAGTGGTGACCATACCGTTAAGAGCAGGTGAGGCTCAAGCGGGGATCAGAGCCAAGGATGAGCCAGGTCAGCCCAGAGAAGGACCATAGTCACCAGGAACAAGTGAGACCCTGGGGATGGTCCCAATGTCAGTAGCAACTAAGGGTCCATCCTGAATCCTAGTCATTGGTAGCGGAGGAACTCAGTCACCAGGTACAGGTGAGGCCCGGGTGAGGACCAGAGTCACCAGGTCCAGATGAAGACCACAGCTACCAGGTTAAGGTGGTGAGCCCAGGTGGGGACCAGAGTCACCAGAGTCAGGTGAGGCCAAGGTGGGGACCACAGTCACAGATCCACATGAGGCTCAGGTGGAGACCAGAGTCACCTAGGTGAAGCCCAGTTGGGGACTAGAGTCACCAGGTCCGGGTGAGGGCCAGGTAGGGATCAGAGTCACCAAGTCAAGTGAGGGCCAGGTGGGGACCACAGTCACCAGGTCTGGGTGAGGCCCAATTGGGGACCATAGTCAACAGGTCCGGGTGAGGGCCAGGTAGGGATCAGAGTCACCAGGTCAAGTTAGGCCCAGGTGGGGACCACAGTTACCAGGCCCGGGTGAGGCCCAGTTGGGGACTAGAGTCACCAGGTCTGGGTGAGGGCCAGGTAGGGATCAGAGTCACCAGGTCAAGTGAGGCCCAGGTGGGGACCACAGTCACCAGGTCTGGGTGAGGCCCAATTGGGGACCAGAGTCACCAGGCCCGGGTGAGGGCCAGGTAGGGATCAGAGTCACCAGGTCAAGTGAGGCCCAGGTGGGGACCACAGTCACCAGGTCTGGGTGAGGCCCAATTGGGGACCATAGTCACCAGGTCCGGGTGAGGGCCAGGTAGGGATCAGAGTCACCAGGTCAAGTTAGGCCCAGGTGGGGACCACAGTCACCAGGCCCGGGTGAGGCCCAGTTGGGGACTAGAGTCACCAGGTCTGGGTGCGGGCAGGTGGGGACCACAGTCCCAGGTCCAGGTGAGGCCCAGGTGGGGACCACAGTCACCAGGTCAGGTCAGGCCCAGGTGGGGATCGTCACTGATAGATAGAAGCAGGTGAGGCTGTCAGGCTGCACCCACCGGTCAGACAGTCTCTTCCTCTGGCGCCCGGCCAATCTCAGAGGGTCGGCCCTCCCTCAGGATTCAGGGGAGGCAAAGAGATGGAAAAGCATTCCATGCTCATGGATTGGACAAATTAATATTGAGAAAATGTCAATGCTACCCCGGCAATTTACACATTTAATTCAATCCCTATCAAAATACCATGGACTTTCTGTTGCGTGCGCTGTGGCAACACGATCAGGGGCCTGAGGATAAGGGGATGAGGAAAATAAAAGTAAAGAGATGGGGACAGGAGGGACCCAGTGGATGATGTCCAAGCAGTTCCAGCTTTATTCAAGGTTTTACAACATTTTATAGCATGAACAAAACAAAGCCAAGAAGGTGTTTATTTTTAGCAGGTTTGTGAAACCCTCCAAAGTTCCCCTTTCTCAGCATGCAAGACAGACTCACAGGTGCCAGAAGACCTTGGTAAATAGATAAGCTTGTTGCTCCAGATGTGCATACTTCAAAGGAATATTAGGTATGGAAAACAGACCAGCAAGGACAGACAGACCCTTATTTACATTTATGACCAGGTCAGAATAAGTTGTATCTATTGTGTAATGTGGGCAATCACGTACAAGCGAGCCCTGAGAACCATTTCTCAAGCCCTTTCTCAAGTGTCTACCAACTATTTACCCTTTAGGCTCCCGAGCCTTTTGAGTGAATGAGGGACGCAAGTCTGGGCCTGGTTTGGTTCAGTTACTCCAGCTAGTCTGCGGTCGCCCACAATTTTCTTCCTTTTTTTTTTTTAAAGATTTTATTTATTTATTCATGATAAACAGAGAGAGGCAGAGACACAGGCAGAGGGAGAAGCAGGCTCCATGCACTAGGAGCCCGACGTGGGATTCGATCCCGGGTCTCCAGGATCGTGCCCTGGGCCAAAGGCAGGCGCTAAACCGCTGCGCCACCCAGGGATCCCTATAATAATACACTAATAGTAGACTTCCACATGGCACTCTCAGCCAGTGAGGGATATTCTAAGCAGAACATCAACACGGAAACCAGGGCTTTAAATGATACACTGGGCCAGATGAATTTCACAGATATCTACAGAACGTTCCATCCGAACCCAACTGAATACACATTCTTCCCAAGGGCACATCGAACTTTCTCCAGAATAGTCCACATACTGGGTCACAAATCAGGTCTCAACTGATACCATAAGATTGGGATTGTGCCCTGCATATTTTCAGACCACAATGCTTTGAAACTACAACTCAATCAGAAGAAGAAATTTAGAAGAAACTCAGTGTTTGGGCATCCCACTAAAGGAAGAGGGTCAACCAGGAAATTAGAGAATTAAAAAAGACTCATGGAAACTAATGAAAATGAAAATACATAATAGTTAGCAATATATTTGCAAGAGGAGCAGAATTCATCCTTTCCCCCGATAAACGTGCTTCTTTAAAAACCCTAATTTGCAGAATTTATAGCAATGGAAAAATACCTATAAGATGATTCCGTGATTAACAAAACCTTTGCTTCTCCTGATTTAGAACAGGAAATAGCTCCTGTCTCCCCTTTCTCTTAGGCTGCCAGGAAGCTAAGAGCCAAGTTCTAATTTGAATATAAGCCAAGTGGCACCTAATGCCTTGGACTATGTTCTCCTCTGTCAAGGTTTTCACTCTCTGTATTTTCACCAATCCCGACTTTTTAAATCTATAAACCAAACTGCTGTCAGCGTTTGGTGCTGAGAACTGTGCCCTTGCACAAGTGTATGAGGGAGTTTGGACGGTAGCGCCGCATTCACTCTGGGATCTAGGTGCCCAGCACCAGACAACCGCCTCCAGCTTTCCCTCTCGGCCCCGCCCCCGTCCCGCCCTTCAGCCCCGCCCCTAGGTCCGCCCCGCCCCTAGCCCCAGCTCCGCCCCGCCGCTGGCCCCGCCCCGCCCCTAGCCCCAGCTCCGCCCCTGGCCCCGCCCCGACCCTAGCCCTAGCTCCGCCTCCTGGCCCCGCCCAGCTCCGCCTCCGGATCCCGGCCCCGCCCCTTGGGCCCCGGCCCCGCCCCTCTCCACAGCCCTTCTTCCCGCGGGAGCGCCGCCTCTTCTCGCGGGACCGGCGCCGGCGGCAGGGCCGTTGCTAGGATGCGGCGGGCATCAGAGAAAGCGGCGGGGCGGGTGCGGACGCGGCTCCCTCGAAACCTCAGCGACCCGGTGGCTGCGTCCGTCGGTCAGGTGGGAGGACAGGTTCTGGCTGCCTCTCCTGGCCCCTCCGCAGGCCGGCCTGGAGCCGGGAGCCCGGGCGCGGGGCGCGGAGCTGTGTGCGGGCGCTGTCCCGCGGGGTCGGGGCTGCCTGGCCGCGGGACGAAGCTCCACCTTCGCTTCAGTCCGTGCAAAGCCTCCTGTTGTCCTTTTCTGGCTCTGTTTCTGCGATGTGGGGTTCGGAGCGGCAGCGTGCGGTGGGCGGGGCCGGGAAGGGTTGTGGGCGGGGCCGTGGGCGGGGGGCGGAGCCGGGGTGCAGACTCAGGCCGCCGTGCGGGGGGCATCGGGCGGCTCCTGGCAGCGCTGAGGGGGCCGCACCCCGTACCCCCGTGCTCAGATAGTGACCCCAGGGGTTCGCAGCCTGTATCGGGGTCACACCTGCACGACGTTCCCTGCTCTCCTCACGGCGGCTCAGACCTGGAGCCCCAAGATGCTCTGGGATGGGCGGGGCCGGGGAGGGGTGCGGGCGGGGCCGTGGGCGGGGCCGTGGGGGCGGGAGGGGGTCGTAGGCGGGGCCGGGAGGGGTCGTGGGCGGGGCCTGGAGGGTTGTGGGCGGGGCGTGGCGGCGGGAGGGTTTGTGTGCTGGGCTGTGGGCGGGGCCGGGCGGGGCCGTGGCGGCGGGCGGGCGGGGCGACTGGTCTCCCCGAGCCCCGAGTCTGCGGGGTGGTGGGAAAGAAGCCGGACGCGTGCTGACCCGGTCGGGCCGCAGGACACCGCGGGCGCCCACGGCGACGGTCCCGGGTGGCAAATGGGCGGCTTCGGAACAGCGTCCTCCGTGGCGCCCTCCGCTCCCCCACGCTCGTGTCCGAGCCTCTTAGAAAACTCAAAGATGCAACAGGTTCGTCTGGCCCCAGGCAGGACTGGGTCCCCCGGAGCAGTGACGCCGGCTTCGTAGGCCCGTCGGGGACCGTGCTTGGGAGGTGAAGGGGCAGGTCCGTGTGATCATCATAGGGGCTGTTTCTTCCTTGTTGAGCAATTTTTGTTTTTTTATTTATGATAGTCGCGCACAGAGAGAGAGAGAGAGAGAGAGAGAGAGGCAGAGACACAGGCAGAGGGAGAAGCAGGCTCCATGCCCCGGGAGCCCGACGCGGGACTCGATCCCGGGTCTCCAGGATCGCGCCCTGGGCCAAAGGCAGACGCCAAACCGCTGCGCCACCCAGGGATCCCCTTGAGCAATTTTTAAAGTCTAAAACGTCTACGTCTGAACAGTCCGCGTAAAGATGACGCCAGTTCAAGCGGCGGGCGGAGTGACCAGCAGTGACCAGCGCAGCCCCCTCAGCCCGTCCTCCGCGCCGCCTCCCAGCGGTGCCCGCCGCGCCCGCGCCCAGGTGCTCCTGCTGGGGGAGGGGCCGCGCTGGCGGTGACCCGGGCACGCTCGGGCGGGGAGCCCGCAGCCGGGCCTCTCCCTTCACTGGACCCCGCGTACAGGGCTGAGCGGGCCTCACTGGGACCCGCCCACGTTGTAGCAATAGTTTACCCCTTTTCGCTGATGAGTAGTGGTCTGTTTTATGAACGTCTCCTAGTATGTGGATCGTGCCTCACCCGAGGAACATTCGTTTCCAGGGTTCGAGGTTAAGCACAAGGGCTTCATGTACTGTCGTAAGCAAATTCGGTATGAATGTGGTTTTTCACGCCATCAGGGTAAAGAACACAGATTGCTAGCTGATGCGTGTGTTTGATTTTATAAGAAAACTGACAGTTCTTTCAAATGCTGTACCAATGGCCGTTTCCGCCTTCAGGGTGTGAGTTCCACGTGTCTTCCATTCACTAGCACCTGACATGGTTGGGAGAGTCTAATCTATATGGATATATCGCCATAGTTGCGTTTCTTTAATAGCTACTGATACTGAGCACCTTTTCATGTGCTTGTTCTCGGGGTCAGGGCTAGACAGAGGCAGTTGAAGAAACTCACCCGGATTTTCAGGAGGCATTCATTTTTAGGTGCACCTGCGAGCCTGGCACAGCGCAGGTGCCACATCGCACTTGTGCCTCTCTAGTCCTGGCTCCACTTCTTTGCCTTCTGTATATGTTCCGTGTTGACTGACTTGTTTAAATATTCTACTCATTTTTATTTTTATTTTTTTTAAGATTTTGTTTATTTATTCATGAGAGACAGAGAGAGAGAGAGACAGAGACACAGGCAGAGGGAGAAGTAGGCCCGATGCAGGACTTGATGCCAGGACTCCCGGGATCACGCCCTGGGCCCAAGGCGGACGCTCAACCCCTGAGCCACCCAGGTGCCCCTATTTTACTCATTTCTAAACTGTTATTCTTTTCTCACTGAAATTTGAGAGTTTTCTATACATTCCAGGTACAAGTCCTTGATCAGATACAAGCTTTGCAAAAAATTGTCTACCAGGCTGTGGTTTGTCTTTTTATTCTTCTACTTATGTTGTTTGAAGAGCAGACATTCTTGATTTTGTTGCTGTTTTAGAAGATGACATCTTGGCCATTGTGCAGGGAAGGTGACCCACCAGATAGAAACAAAAGCATTACCTCAGCCTCTCCGGGGGTGGGAGGAGTATGTTGCTGGGAGTCAGGGCTTCTTTATGATACTGTCTCTCTAATCAGGCCATTAAGCCCTGTTAATGGGAGAAAATAACCAAAAGGAAAATTTTGGGTGTGTGAGAACCTAAAGAAGTTTCTTGAACTTTTTAAAAATTGAGTTTTTATTCAGTTTTTTTTTCTCATTTCACATTTTTTTTTAATTGTTTTGGAAGTGTAGAACTTTCAGTTTTTCAATTGGCCGTACTAGAAATTCGGCTATGCTTTTAATTTAACAAAGTCTAGGGTTAAGTATCCTATCCCTCAATTTTGTAAAAAGTATAAGAATTTGAGAACAGTTCACTTTGATCTTTCCCTTCCCAGTCATATATTCTTATTGTCTAATACTTCAATTTTCTACTACTATTCTGTTGACAGTATTTTTTCGGGTTTACCCGTATGCTTATAATTTATTTGTTTACCTTTTCTTTTGCACTTCAAAGTTCTGTTGACCCCATTTTCCTCTTCCTTCAAGTATATCCTTTAGAACTTTCTTTAGAGCAGATATCTTTGTGGTAACTATGTATAAATATTTCTGTTTTCTATCTTGAAAGAGAATTTTGCTCTATGCACAGTTCTAGGTTGATAGCTATCTTCTTTTAATTAGCTCATTGTTACCTTGGCTTCTATATTTCTGATGAGAAATCCGCAGTGATTTTGCTTTTCTTTCCTTTGTATTAATATTAGCAAATTAATCCAAAGCAGTAGGTGATATGTCCTTTTTCACTGTGTGCTTTCCAGACCTTCTCTTTGTTATTCTGTAATGTAATTACAGTGCATATGGGTTTGATTTATTTATACTTATCCCATTGGGTGTATGTTTATGTTATGCTTCTTGGATCTTTGGATCCATACTTTTCATCAGTTTTGTAAAATTCTCGTGCTCGCTTTGGCAGCACATATACTAAAAAAGAGTTTTGTAAAATTCTCAACCGTTACTTTAAAAATATTTTCTCTCATTTATCTTTTTGTTTCCTCTGTGATTCAGATTTGACATCTGTTAATTAGATCAGGGACTGACAGACTTTTTCTGGAACGGGCTTCTCAGGCCACATACAGTCTCTGCTGCATATTCATTGCTATTTTTTTATTTTAAAAGTATAAAACCATTCTGAGCTCACAGAAAGATATACTTAGCAATAGATATGCTAGACTTTTCCTCTTTTGCATGGCCCTTAATCTCTCATATTTTTCATATCCTTATCTGTTTGCTGCATTCTATATCAAATCATTTTATTTATCTTTTAGTTTCCCAATTCTCTCTTCAATTATAATGCTATATTCATTGAATTCAACAAATATATATTTTTATTCCAGATATTCCATATTTGAGGAAAGCTAGAGAACTTCACTAAGGTTATTTTTTTTTCTATGTAAGGATTTGTGCTTAATGTGTTAGCCCCAAACACAGCTTTCCCACTTCACTATTGTTCCAAATTTTAATCAGCCCCTGCTCTTGCCACAGAAATACACCTCCAGGCCACTTCTATCCTCCCTTGCTGACTGCCAGTTTCTACAGGTAGACTCCCTGATGTACTGGCTCCTCAGAGCTCTGATCCAGCTGCTGCCCCTGCAGCCTGGCCCTTGGCTGCCCAAGCCCACTCTGGCCCCAGGTCCTGGGTGCTGTCACAGCCTCCCAAGCCAGAGCTCTGGATTGCTGTACCTCGGGCCCTAGTCAGCTCCAAAATCAACCCACACTTGTTTGTTGTGGGGAACAAAAGTCATTGGAGACTTGCTACAGTTTGTGAGAACAAAGCTACTACAAAGAGTGCGTACCATCCAGGGTGTGGTTGCTGGGTCGCTGGCAGATCCCTTACAGCTTCTGATCGGTTGTAATCCCAGAAATAGAAGTCCTGTGTTAGTTTGTATTCAGAAAGAAAGCTTTTCAAATAAGCCCTTTCACAAGGCATTGTTCATTGGATAGGGAAGCAGTGACAATATATTTTAAAATATTTTTCAATATATTCTTGACAGTAGATTTTTCTCAAATTAATTGTGTTTTGAGGTTCTCGTTTAGTGATATTTTTACTTTTCATGGTGTTTTTATTAAAAATTCCCCGGTGCTTTTACCTAATGCCATTACTAAAATAATCAGTATTTAAAAGAAAATAGTGAGCAACATTGCAGTATGTTATGAACATCACTGTACACCAGCACTGAATTTGTTATTTGGTGTAAGAATTTTTTATGTGTAATAAATACATATATTTTTTTTGGTTCAGAAAAATGTCTGATCGGGAAGAAGAATTTGGTGCTCAGAATGCTGTTACTGCGTCAGAAGAAAATGATGATGCTTTTGAGACTATCACTGTTCCAGTTTCCTCGGAGGAGCTTCCAGAGTCAGGTCAAGCAGAAGGCAGTGAATCTGAACTCACACCATCCAGTGAAGGCCGCACAACACGTGTTAAAGAGGAAAATGACCAGAGCTTCTTGAACGAGGAGCCAGAAGATGAAGAACAACTCATGGAAGAAGTTTTGTTCCCCAGACGAGTTTCATACTCTCGAAGAAATTCTATAAAGCATAAGTTCACTAAACATGACAATGCAGTGCAGTCAGCCAAACAGTTTTCACATGCTGGATCTCTGGCATTTCTGGATAAGATAAAGGCGATAAAGGAATCTCTGAAAGCATCGATGAAAGATCCTTTAGCAACAGGTATTACTTGGGGAAGACAGGAATCTCTTTTCCTCGTTTCGAAGAATGGTTGCTTTTTCAAATTTATTTTGCTTGAAGATTTGTTTTATATTTGGTGTTGCGTACTTTTCCTTCCTTTTACCCACCAAACCTCTGTAGCCACTACCACTTAATCTCTTAAGTAAGTGTGAAGGTACTCTATTCTTTAGTATCTGTTTTCCCTGAATAGATGAACACTATTACATTTTAAGTTGATATGGATCCATCTTTCCTAAATAAAGTAGGTTTTTAAAATGTTTAGGGACCTGGTAAAATGGGCAAATTCTTGAGTACAATTGTCGTTCTTTTGCATACCTCTTTGGAATTACTTGTTCGTAGCTAGATAGAGTTGGAAGGGAACTTGACTCCAGATTTCTTAGTTTCATATCCAGAGTTCATTCCTCATATCTCGTTACTTATATATATTTCCACACTTTTTCTTAGTGTTAACTTTATATTTAGCTTCAGAAAAATTGTTTTCTTGAATTATTGTTTATTGTATTGTATTGTATTGTATCATATTGTATTGTATCGTATTTTTATATTGTTTAATTTTAAAGGCATAAGATTCATGGCATGTAGGAGTTACCACTACATTGTTGGTAACAAAGCCAAAGTGGAGCAGCAAGAAAGTGGTTACATCTAGAACCAGCTTAGTTGGCTGATTAATGGACTGCTACTTCTCTCTCTTGTCCATAAGTTTTGAAATTGTTCATCCATAGGGTGGTGAATATGGGGCCATCTTTTAACAATAATAACAGCAGCTTGTTTGGCTGATGAAAAGTAGCTTTTGAATCCAGTGGAGTAGTTTACCCTTGTGTGGTGTATCCATACAAGAGAAGAATGAGAAGGAAGGAGAAGAAATTAATTAAGCCCTATTATACCTAACTGAAGCTGTTATCCCTCGTTTTCACTATTCACTATAACTTTGGTCTTCATTTGTTTATTTGTTTTTTAAAGTAACCTCTGTACCCAACATGGGGCTCAAACTCACAACCCCAAGATCAAGAATCACATGCTGTACTGACTGAGCCAGCCAGGCGCCCGTGGGCTCCATTTTTTGGTATTTCTGTGATTGCCGGATAGTAGTTTATAACAAATACTTAGGGATTAGAATAAAGTTGTCTTAGTCCTGTACTTTCTGAGGCTCACAAATTCATACACCTTCCTTTCCCAAAGCTTAGGAAGTCACTGTTACGAAAATGTTAAAATATATTAACCATAGAATTTTGAATCCATAAAACAACTAGAATAGCCTTCTGATGACTTAACATCTATGAAAGTGTTTTCTTTGTTGATAGCTGTGAAAGTAAATTTTAACAATCTCAAAGAATCTTAGCATCAACAGTGCCTGGTTAAATGTCATTCTGAGATTATTGATAAAAGTCTCATTTAGCTTTATGAAAATTGTTATGTGTCAGGCATCTAGAAATATATAAAACTTTTTCAGCCTACAGTTTGTACTCTGCCCTCCATCTTACTTATTGATCTTCTCCATTAAAACTTAAAGTCAGTAGATGTAAAAGAAGAAAGTTTACCCCATTATATTAAACTTTTGAAAAGTTTTTATTATTAATATGTAAGTGTCTAGAATTGCTATTTTATAGAATGGCTAGTGAGCCACGTAATGCCTATTTTTGTGAAAAGTAGATTAGTGTGTAGTTATTCAAAATATTTGTAATTAAGAGTGTTTTTTCTGTTTCTCATTTTAGTAACTATAGACATAAATCAATTATGGAAAGAAGAATGGATTTAGAGATCTTTTACTTTGAAAATTTCTCTATTGGATTTTTTTTTTTTAAAGATTGTATTTATTTATTCATGAGAGAGAGAGAGAGAGAGAGAGGCAGACACACAGGCAGAGGGAGAAGCAGGCTCCCTGCAGGGAGCCCGATGTGGGACTCGATCCCAGGACCCCAGGATCATACCCCAGGCCGAAGGCAGGCACTAAACCACTGAGCCACCCAGGAATCCCCCTCTATTGGATTTTCTTAACTTGATGAGTATGCACTGATTTACTGATGCATGCTATCAATATGTAACCAAAGTGTGCACATCATAAGTTCAGGGACACCTTGTAGGTCTCAGGGTCTCCTGTTCCAGTACTCAGTACACAAAAATGCTTGATTTTCTGAGCTGTTCCCGTATTTATATCTGAGTAATATAATACTAGATGCCAATAACCAGATTAGTACCAATTAATACCAAATATTGGGAATCTTTAAAAGCAGTTTAGTTTTCCTATTTCTTGTGCTATTCTGACTGAAGAGTTAATTCTAAATGTGCACTGATGCCCATAGCAGAGAATAGAAAAAGGATCTGAACTTTAAGCTGGAGTTGGGGTGCAGGTGTTGACCACTGATGCTAATTATTGAGATTCTGGATTAATCTGCAAAATAAAATCTGAATGTCATTTCCCGTAGATATTAAAATGTAACTCTTATCATGGAGGTGCAGTGGGGGAACACGGCAGGGGCAATCTGCCTTCAATATTATTAAAAATTGTCCCATAATTCTCTGTTTATGGATTGTAGGTTGCTGACCCTTGCTTTTGACTATGATTCTTTTCTCTTTTTATCTACAGTGAAAGTTGTACTTTTTCCTGTGGGCCAGGAAATTATAATGCCTTTTAAAATAGACACCGTTGTAAAATACCTCAAGGATCATTTTTCATACCAATTACTTATTCCATCCGATATACTGCAGATAAGATATGCAGGTAAGTTTGGAAGCTAACAAAACCTACCAAGACTTCTTTAGCTTTACCATGTAAATAATCAAGATCTTTGATTTGTTAAAATATATTGTTATCTTCTGTTGGAACATTATATTGTGATTCTGCATTCATTTGACACATTTTTATTGAGGCTATATATATATATATATATATATATATATATATATATATATATTTAAATATTTTATTTATTCATGAGAGACAGAGAGAGAGGCAGAGACACAGGCAGAGGGAGAAGCAGGCTCCATGCAGGGCCTGACGTGGGACTTGTTCCCGGGACCCTGGGGTCACGCCTTGGGCTGAAGGCAGCGCCAAACCACTGAGCCACCCGGGCTGCCCCCTATTGAGTATATATTTGTTTTAAATACTTAGCTAAGAACTGAAGATGTAAAGAAACATGAAACAAAATCTTTGTTCTCAAACTGTTAATAGACTAGTCAGAAAGACAATGTATGCAATAGTTACCACATAATGTGTAAATGTTTTTTAATGGAGATAAGCACAAAACACTCTGAGAACAGAGAGGAAGGAAAGTGGGAGATTCTAAAAAGCTTCATTTAATGAAAGTGATAATACCTGTGCTGGGACTTTGGGGAAGTGATAAGTTTAGAGTGGCTAGAAGTAGATTCTCTGTGAGAAGTGGGAGGCAATGAGGTTGAGAGAAGTAGATGAGGAATGAGAATAAGAAGAGGACTAAAAATGGTTTATCTGTCAGACTTTATACACTAAGGTCAATTCACAATCCTCTGATGTTCAAGTTTATTTATATTTTGTGGGCAATACTGAGTAACCCACTTTATTGTAGCCTTATGTCATGAGAGGACTTGGTCTTTGTAACTGTGATAGAGGGAGTGAGAGCAACATGGCTAAATGAATGTTTCAATGGAATATGTCTGCACAGAGGCTAATATTTTAGTTTAAAAAGTTTTGCTCTTAACTTATAAAATGCCACACACAAAAAAGGTTTCCATGGAGATAAGAATACTTTTTTTTGTGGGAAAATCCTAAACACTAAAAAGATGGTAAGCCTTACCTATTAAATTCCTCATCAAATCAAAGAAAACAATAAGTTCAATTTCAAAATTATTTTTAAAAAACTATTATAATGAATGTGCTATAAATTAAGATGCTCATGCATTCAAACAACTGACTATTATAGGGAAACAACATGAAAATTTAAATAATTACTAGTAATAACAATCACGATGGTTAATTTATTAGGACTTACCATGTGCTAGTCCATCTACAAGATACTTTGCGTCATTACCACATTATCATTCAGTCCACACAATAACCCTTTGAGGTAGGTATCTTATTAACTTTTTTTTTGAAGGAAGGAAACTAAAGCTTGAGAAAGTTGTACAAATTCACGCAGCTAATGAGTGACAGGGTCTGAACTTAAATATAGGTATGACTCCAAAAAGGATATTTGAAACTGCTTGGCATTAACTATGAGATGAAGTTCCAAATTGGAGAAGAAAGAGCACTTTGAGAATGGAGTAACTAGCCAGTGGTATCTGAGACTGTTCTTTGTACTTCATGACCTTCATTCGCTGTATCGTAAGTGGCGGCATCTCCACTGGGTACCGGGCTTATGTGAGCCACGACAGTCAAAGAGCGGATTCTGTGTCAGCTTCCCTCTAACATAGGTGCTTTCTTCTCGTCCGCAAATTGGAGTTTAAATTTGGTGGGACTAAGCCTACTACACAAACCAGAGGAGTGAAGAGGGCTCTGGGCATCTGTATTAGTTTCTTGTGGCTGTTGTAAAAATTAACCACAAGTTTAGTAACGTGTGATTCCTCTTAGAGTCCTGAGTGCCGGCAATTGTAGACCAGTTTCACTCAAATGAAGCCAACCTGTGGGCAGGGCTGTTCCTCCTCTGGAGGTCCTGGGGAGAATCTGCTCCTTGTCTTCTCCAGCTTCTAGAGTTGTACACCTTGCATGGCCCCTTCCCCCATCTGTAAAGCAAGCAGCAGAGCATCTTCAAATCTCTCTCTGCTTCTGGTTTATCATCTTCTCCTCTGTAGTCAAATCTCCCTTCCATCCTATCTAAGGGCATTTGCAATAAGTTCTGCGGATTAGGACATGGATATATTCTGGAGCCATTATTCAACCTATCACAAAGTCCATATAATATTCATGTTAATTTTTTAAATTAAGAATTTGGGATGTGAAATGGAAACTCAAGGAACTTTGTGCTTTCTTAAACATAGCTAAAGTAGGCTGTGGTATCTGATATTATTTCTAAGAAGGAGGGTAACAAAACCTTTGCTATGTTTAAATTCTTTTTTTTTAAAGATTTTATTTATTTATTCATGATAGACACACACATAGAGAGGCAAAGGGAGAAGCAGGCCCCATGCAGGGAGCCCGATGTGGGACTCGATCCCGGGACTCCAGGATCATGCCTGGACCGAAGGCAGGTGCCAAACCGCTGAGCCACCCAGGGATCCCCACTATGTTTAAATTCTTACTTATAATTTAGGAAGACCATACATTGGAAGAGTGATATAGATTCTATCAAAACAGCAGCCATTAACATTATGCATATTTATTATTCCTTAAAATAGAGAAGTAAAATTTGGGTCAATTTATAGAATAAACCAATAAGAGGAGATAGAACTAAAAAAAGACAAAAAATAACATAAAAATAGAGTGATGTACACTTTTTCCAGCACAGACCTGAGGCTTAACCCCACTTTTTCATGAATTTCTTTATATGGGTTTCTGACTATAGGAACAGAAGGGGAAAGATGCAACTCTGAGTATATGCTTTTCTGTACTGGAGAGAGGGATGGGTATGAAAATAATCAAATTTTCCCTGATAAAGATATGTCCTGTGTTTACATATAACACACTGATTTTTTATTTATTTTTATTTTTTATTTTTATTTTTTTTAAAAGATTTTATTTATTTATTCATAGAGATGCAGAGAGAGAGGCAGAGACACAGGCAGAGGGAGAAGCAGGCTCCATGCAGGGAGTCTGACGTGGGACTCGATCCAGGGTCTCCAGATCACGCCCTGGGCTGCAGGCGGCGCTAAACCACTGCACCACCGGGGCTGCCCACACACTGATTTTTTTAGAGAGTCAATGTCTAGAATATGATTTTGCTCATAGGATATGGTTTTTTTTTTTGTTTTTGTTTTTAAATAATTACGGAGTTTCATGGTTATTATGTATTTGTATTTCTGATGAGAAATCCTACGAGAGTTGTAGCTTATAATGCTGAATTCTTGCATCTTAACTTTTCCCATTGTGGAGTTTTCTGTACTAACATTACAGCAAGGAATGAACATCATCAATATTCTATTCAGTACTTAAACTATATGTGTTTATTATATAATCATCTTTGACATTTTCCTTCCCCTTGAAATTAGTATGTATAGTTATTTCTTTGCCATACTTCTACGAATGCTTCTTCTTCTAATTTCATGCCATTTTCAGGAAGGATTCTTAAAAATAATGAGACTCTACTGCAATATGGAGCTAAGCCACAGGATATTGTACAGGTGGAAATCTTTTCTACAGATCCAGATCTATTTCCAATCAAAAGAATACATGGATTAACTGATGCCTCTCAAATCATAACTGTCAAAGTACAAACTGGTTAGTTATTTGATGTCTTTTAGATAAAGTATTTTAGAGTCCCTTTGTAGGTGAACTTTCATTCAATCTTGGTTTTACCTCCTTAGGCATTGCTCAGTACCAGGAGGTACCTGTTGAGATTATTAAATCTGACTTTCACAAACCATTTCTTGGTGGATTCAGACATAAAATAACAGGAATAGAATATCATAATGCTGGAACACAAACTGTACCTAAAAAGATTCCTGAAAAAGACAATGTATTTTGTAGAGATACCCAGGTAATATTTTTATTTTTCTATGTAGGTTTTTCAAACTGCAAATCAACAAATGTTCTGTGTACCTCTCTAAAATGGAAATTTTCCCCATTTGCAATGATTTGGATGGTGCTAGAGCATATTAGCTAAGCAAAATAAGCCAGTCAGAGAAAGACAAATACCATTCATTCTTTTTTTAAAAAAATTATTTATTTATTCAGAGAGAGAGAGAGGCAGAGACATAGGAGGGAGAAGCAGGCTCCCTGTAGGAAGCCCGACGAGGGACTCGGGACTCGATTAGGGGTCTCCAGGATCACACCCCAGGCTGCGGGCTAAACCACTGCACCCCGATACCATTCATTCTTATGTAGATTTCATTCCTATGTAGAATTTAAGAAACAAAAAAAAAGAGAGACAGAGAAAGAGGCAAATAAAAAAAACAGACTTAACTATAAAGAACAAATTGACAGTTTGGGAAGGGAGTGAAGGGAATAGGTACACTTGTCATGATGAGCACCGGGTCATGTATAAAAGTGTTCATTCACTATATCGTACACCTGAAACTAATATTACACTGTATGTTAACTAACTGGAATTCAAATAAAAACTTAAAAAAATAAATTAAAATCTTCCAAGGAATTATATGGTAATTCATATAATAACAGAAAATTGAGAACACAGGAAAATGTGCTCTTTACTCACTGATATGTCTATATTGTGGATATTTAAATAAATGTTTATGTTTTTATTTTAGACAGTTTTTCTGAGAAAAAAGCTCCAACAAACTACAAATACAACATCCACACAGATGACTAAAATTGGTGTGTATGTATCAAATATGACTGATAAACTGGTGATACCAGGAAAATATTTTTCAGCAGCAGAATACCACGCTCAAAGATTACAGGCAGTAAGAGAATGTTTATTATGAGTAAATACTAAAAATGAAATAAATGAGCCAGTTGTTCTATGCGTGTCTACATGGTTTTCTTAAGCCACACCAGCTTATAAAACAACCCACATGAGTGTTCTTAAAGAAAAAATTATTCATAACACATGTTAAAGATGATAAGGAAGACTTTATTTAAGAGGGGCTAGTACAGTGGAGTTTTGTGGAAGGGAAGAGAGATTGGGTTCAACTCTAAATATAAGGAAAAGTGGGAATTTATAGCCAAGGGGTAGGGTATGGGTCAATGGTGGAAAATTACTAAAACATCAGGAGTAAGGGGAGAGTAAAGCATTCTAACAGGGTTTTTCACTGAGTGGGGGGATATGTTTTAAGATGAAGAACCTGATCAAATGAGGGAGGGATTCTCCTTAAACTTGACTTAGCAGGACTTGGGGAAAATCAAACAATGTGGAGATGATCACAGAAGCCAAGAGTTGAAGCCTAATTGAGAAACTCTCAGAGGAGCTTGATCAGAGTTTGGTCAAGGAGAGAGTCTTTATCAGTGTGAGTTCTGTTTCACTGGTATTAAAGGCAGGTTTTATCTCCATTTTCCCCTCAGTAAAAGGAACCAGGACCCTAAATGCTCCTAGTCCTTTTCATATGCTTGCAGAGCCCCAGGGGTTTGTGTATTACCTCTGGCCATTATTAGCTTTGTCTTCTCTTTACCTTGGCCTTAATCCTTGGTATAGTAGAATCACCTACAGAGCTTTCCAGAGAAATTGAGAGCAACAGGATACTAAAGTCTGCTTTCTTTGATATATATTAATATATAGCTCCTCCAACTCCTTTATGTCATTGTTTGCATGGTCTTTTTCTATCCTTTTACTTTCAACCTATTTTGAGTCTTAATCTAGAATGTATGTTTTATAGACAGTGTATAATTGGATCTTATCTTTTTATGCAGTCTAATCTCTACTTTGTGATTGGAATGTCTAATAGATTTATTTTAATGTTATTATTGATAAGATTGGATGGTATCAAACACTTGCTACTTGTTTTCTCTATGTCAGATGTCTCTCTCATCCTCTTTTTCCTTTACTGTCTTTTTTTATGTTACATAGGTATTTTCTAATGTACCATTTTAATTCTTTTGTTTTTATTCCATTTAAAACTTTTATTTTCAATATAATATATACTTTTTAAAAAAGTATACAATTTAATGATTTTTTTTTTTTTTTTTTTTTTTTACTATAGAAACAGTTACACAACATTTTAGAACATTGTCATCATCCCAGAAAAAATTCCTGGACCCACTAGCAGTCAGTCCCTATTTCCATCCAATGTTTTCTGCCTTGGGAGACCACTAATCCACTTTCTGCCTCTATCAGTTTAACTATTCTGGATTTCTCATATACGTGGAATCATACAATATGTAGTTTTTTGTGATTGGCTTTTAAAAATATATATTTTTGGGGATCCCTGGGTGGCTCAGTGGTTTAGCGCCTGCCTTTGGCCCAGGGCGCGATCCTGGAGTCCCGGGATCGAGTCCCATGTCGGGCTCCCGGCATGGAGCCTGCGTCTCCCTCTCCCTCTGCCTGTGCCTCTGCCTCTCTCTATGTCTATCATAAATAAATAAAATCTTTAAAAAAATAATAAAAAATAAAAATAAATATTTTTAAACATAGCTTAATGTTTTCAAGACTCATCCGTGTTGTGACATGTATCAATACTTCATTCTATTGCAGAATAATATTCCATTGAATATACTCAATTAGGTATATATTGTATCCATGCCAATGTATATACTGTATTTTGTCTGTTTATGGGTTGATGGACATTTTCATGTGGACATATGTTTTCATTTCTCTTGGGATGTAATTGCTAGATCATATGGTAAGTATAGGTTTAACCATTTTGAAGAACTACCAGACTGTTTTCCAGAGCAGCTGCACCATTTTATGTCACGCGAGCAGTATATGAGGATTCCAGTATCCTCACATCCTCATCAATACTTGTTATTTCTATGTTTTTCATTATAGCTCTCCTAGTGAGTGTGAAGGGTTGTCTCATTGTGGTTTTGATTTCTATACCCTTATGGCTAATGATTTTGAATATCTTTTCTTGTGCTTAATAGCAACATTTACACTGGTGCAGACATTTTTGATTATGATGACTTGGGCGAGGTGCTACTGTACTTTAATGAGTAGAGGACAAGGAGGCTGCCAAACATCCTGTAAGCATAAAAACTCCAGCCCCACTGCAACAGATGATTATCTGGTCCAAAGTATCAACAGTGTCATTGCTGAAATCTGCAATCCCTATAAGGTCCATCTATATCTTTACAAATGGCAAGATTTCATTCTTTATTATGGCTGAGTAGTATTCCATTGTGTGTATAGATATATTTATAGATGTATAGATGTATATCTCGCATCTTTTTTATCCATTCATCCACCAATAGACACTTAGGTTGTTTCCATAGCTTGGCTATTCTAAATAATGTTGCAGTGAACATAGGGGTTCATGTATCTTTTTGAATTAGTGTTTCTTTCTTTTTCTTTTTTTTTAAAATTTTTATTTATTTATGATAGTCACACAGAGAGAGAGAGAGAGAGAGAGAGGCAGAGACACAGGCAGAGGGAGAAGCAGGCTCCATGCACTGGGAGCCCGACATGGGATTCGATCCTGGGCCTCCAGGATCGCGCCCTGGGCCAAAGGCAGGCGCTAAACCGCTGCGCCACCCAGGGATCCCTTTTTTTTTTTTTTTTTTTTGGCTAAATACCCAGAGGTGGGGTTGCTGGGTCAAATGGTAGTTTTGTTTTTAATTTTTTGAGAAACCTCTATACTGTTTTCTTTTTTAAAGATTTATTTATTTATTCATTCAGAGAGAGCAAAGAGAGAGGCAGAGACACAGGCAGAGGGAGAAGCAGGCTCCATGCAGGGAGCCCGATGCAGGACTCGATCCTGGGTCTCCAAGATCACACCCCAGGCTGCAGGCGGCGCTAAACCGCTGCGCCCCGGGGCTGCCCTCTATACTGTTTTCCATTGTGACTGTACCAATTTACATTCTCACTACAGGGCACAAGGGTTCCCTTTCCTCCACATTCTTGCCAACACTTGTTACTTCTTATCTTCTTGATAATAGCCATTCTAACAGGTGTGAGGTGATATCTTACTGTAGTGTTGATTTGCATTTTCTAGATGATGAGTGATGTTCAGCATCTTGTCATGTGTCTGTTGGCCATCTATATGCTTCTGGGGAAATGTCTATTTGAATCCTCTGTCCATTTTTAAATTAGATTGTTTTTTTTTTTGCTTTTGAGTTTTAGGAGTTGTTTATATATTTTGGATATTAACTGCTTCTCAGATATATGATTGCAAATATTTTCTCCCATTCAGGAGGTTGTCTTTTCATTTTGTTGATGGTTTCCTTTGCTGTGCAGAAGCTTTTTAGTTTGATATAGTCCCACTTGTTTATTTTTGGTTTTGTTACCTTTGTATTTAGAGTCAGATTAAAAAAAAAAAATCATTGCCAAGACTGACGTCAAGTAGCTTACCACCTATGTTTCCTCCTAGGAGTTTTGTTTGTTTTGGGTCTTACATTCAAGTCTTTAATCCATTTTGAGTTAATTTGTGTGTGTGGTATGAGATAATACCTAGTTTCATTCTTTTGCATTTCAGTTTTCCCCATTGTATATTCTTGCCTTCTCTGTCATAAATTAATTGAGCATATATGTGTGGGTTTATTTCTGGGTTCTCTATTCTGTCCATTGATCTATGTCTGTTTTTATGCCAATAGCATACTGTTTTGATTACTCTAGATTTGTAATGTAGTTTGAAATCAGGGAGCATGGTACCTCCAGCTTTGTTCCTTTGGTAACAAAGTTAAGAGGGATGTGGAATGTCTCTTCTTTGAAATTTAGCATGTTGGTTGTAAATCAAGGCTGTTTTTCTCTATCAACGTGACATATGTCCCCCTTGCGGGAATGGTATGTTTCATTCTTAGTTATCTAATTTGAAATAACAAAGTTTCTGGTAGATTATGATTTTAGAGAACTAGATTTCTCAGTAAGTAAGAAAATAGTAGTGACTCCAAGGAGGGGATTGTCAGGATATTTTATAGCTGCAGAATGTCCTTGAAAGAAATATTGTTTCCCATTAACTTCATAACTGACTTTATTAGGGCCTGTTATTCCATCCTGATAGGTTTTTATGTTCTCAGTCCAAACTAATTTTTGCTTTTTTACTGTACAGGGTTTGGATGGTGGCTCTGTGATGTCATATAATTTTTTAATAAGGAAGTAGGGAAAATGGATTAGGTGAGGAGGTGGAAATCTCTACAATACTTTCCAAACTCCAATACAATGATTTTAGAGGAATAAAAAAATATACAGGAACAAAGAATACATGAGAAAAGAGAAGAGTAAATGCCAGTATATTATTTTAAAGTTGTAAAGAAGACAAAGAAATGTTAGCTTGATTTACTTAAACTGAGGAAGCGAAAATCTAAATGCCTGCCAAGGGGGATGGCATCAGGAACCAAATAGATTTGCCCTATGGAATCCTGGAACATGAATAGGAGGTTCAGAGGGGGTCGAAGTGGGATGTGAGGTGTAAACAGAGCGATTGATTAAAAGCCAGTATAAGGAGTAAGTTTCCATTTAATAAGTTCTTCTTTTGCTCACTGATTCTACTTGTATTATATTTATTTTATTCTTGGGCTTTTTAGAAACATTTTATTTATTCAGAGGGACAGAAGAAGAGAGAGAGAGACAGCATGAGTGGAGGGAGGGACACAGGGAGAGGGAGAGAGAGAATCTCAAGCAGACTCTGTGTGGAGCACTGAACCCAATGCAGGGTTTGATCCCAGGATCCCAAGATCACAACTTGAGTGGAAATCAAGAGTTGGTTGCTCAACCAGCTGTGCCATCCAGGCACCCCTCTTGAGCTTCTTGATTTCAGTGGTTAGTACTTACTTTAAATCTTTTTTGTTTTAACAAGTTTGTATTATGTATGACTATTGATATTTTTGTACTCATTCCTACCATCTCATTTTGGTTTTTATTTGTTCTTCATATCTTGTTTGTTTATTCTTTTTTTTTTTTTTTAAATTTTTTTTATTATTTATTTATGATAGTCATACAGAGAGAGAGAGAGAGAGAGGCAGAGACACAGGCAGAGGGAGAAGCAGGCTCCATGCACCGGGAGCCCGACGTGGGACTCGATCCTGGGTCTCCAGGATCGCGCCCTGGGCCAAAGGCAGGCGCCAAACCACTGCGCCACCCAGGGATCCCTTGTTTGTTTATTCTTTTACTAAACTTTCTTTATCTTTGTTAGTTTGACTAAACTTTTTCTTTCTTTTTTTGTTCTTTCATAATCCAGAAGCAGGTACTATATTTCTCTTTTTCTAATGGTGCCTCATAAAAAGTTTTAAATTTTTTTTATTTCCTAATTTTTTTAATACCTAAAGCATATTTATTCAGGTTCTATCTTTTCCATGAATAAATCAAGGACTTTAGCAGGCTTTTCTGTTTTTCATTTCTTTGTCCTTCTCCCTCATTCCTCCTATCCAGTGATGATCTGCAATTACAATTATATATATAATTTGCTATATACTTATCATTTTCTACATAATTATAACTGCTTACTGTTATATGTGTTTATATTGATATATATGATTTTTTTACAAATAAGATATATTTAGCTTGATAACTCTCTTGGAAATTTTTGCTCAATCTTTAAATTTTTCCCTTTTAACTTTTTTAATAAAGATTTTATTTATTTATTCATGAGAGACACACAGAGAGAGGCAGAGACACAGGCAGAGGGAGAAGCAGGCTCCACGGAAGGAGCCTGATGCGGGACTTGATTCCTGATCCCAGAATCAGGCCCTGAGCCAAAGGCAGATGCTCAACTGCTGAGCCACCCAGGCATCCCTTAACTTATTTTTCTTGCTAGAACACATTGTCTAATAATTCTTTTAGAGATTATGCATGGGAGATAAACTATCTTAATCCTGTTGAATCAACCTCATTCTTGAAGTTTAATTTGAGTGTGTGTAGACAGATTTAAACTTATTTTCAAAATTATTTTTCTTTATAACTTTGAAGTTCTATTTGTTTAAAAGTCTGATGCCAATTTCTCATTTCTTTGTTTTCTCTTTCTGGAAGCTTTTAGGATTTTTACTTTACCCTTAATAATCTTACTGTGATATGCTTGGGATTTGTTCATGAACCCTTTCTGAGTGCTCATGTCTTTCTTTAGTTTGAGGACATGCTCTTTTATTATATTTTGAGTAATTTCTCTAATCAACTTTCTTCATTCTGTCTAGAAATTATATCAGACATGTTTTGGAATGTCTTCCATGTCTCTTAATTTTCTTTCATTCATTCTCATTTTTATGACTTTTTACTCTTCATTCTAAAAGACTTTCTCACCTAAGTTTCTTGCTTACTAATTTCCTCTTAGGCTCTGCACATTCATGCAGGTCATTTTATAGTCAACTACTTGCTCTCCACCAATATCTATTCTTCTCGTTGTGATAAAGCTTTAGCCGGACACCTGGCTGCCCCATTGCAGACTATGTTTCAAAATCTCTTTCGTATATTGGTAATGCCAAATAACTAAGGCCTGAAAATGAAATGTAAAGGGAAATGATGTATGCCACTTTTTAAAGTCACTGGGTTGCAATTCTTTTGTCTTTTTTCTCCCTGTCTACTTTTCAGAAGATGATGAGAAATAGATCAGCCACTAGGGCAGAAGAGTGGGAAGCCATTTGTTGAATACAATAGAGCTTCCTACCAGCCCTAAACTGCTTGCTAATCCCTGGATTATGATGTAAAAGGGTAAAACTTATATATTATTTAAAAGACTGTGATTTGGTGTCAGTATTTATTAAAAGCATTTATTAAATGCTTTTTGTTTGTTAAGTTTAACAAGTTTAGTGGCACCCAAGTTAAATGCATTCTAATTGATTTTTTAAAATAAAAAAATTGTTTTTTAAATAGTGATTCAATATCCTTTTTTTTCCTCCATCTGAAAATGTTAATTCTAGTCTGGTCTTGGCTTTTGTTTTGTTTTGTTTTACTCTAGTACAGTGGTTCTAAACTTTAGCAGACATCAGAAACTTGTAAAATACAGAATCTGTGCCCCACCCAGGATTTCTGATTCAGTAGCTCTGGGGTGGAGCTTGAAAATTTGCATTTCTAACAGTTCTCCAGATGATACTAATAGTGCTGAGTTGACCATCATTCTTTGAGAACCACTATTCTAGTAATTCTGTTTCACACAAAAGTAAACTTTTCTTTGTTGGATGAGGAGCCTTATATTTTGTGGGCTCTTCCCAAATGTTTGGTTATTCTTGGGTGTGTAGGCAGGGTATTGAGATCCCTGATGTCCAGTGTGCTACCCATATTTATTTACTATAGCCTTACAGCAGTGGTTTTAGAATGGCCAAGCCTTGATTCTGGAAGAGAGCTAGTTTTCTGAAGAAGGAGCTTCTATTCATCCAGGGGGTTGCCGGGGACACTAACTGTTCTTGCCCAGAGGCAAATACTTCTGTTACTGTTTACCTGAATTGTTTTAGAGATGTCTGTCCCTTTTGTATTTCTCACAGGATGCACTGGTTTGGGGCTTGAAGCAGTCTCACAGACCCTTGTGTGTTTTCTAGCTTACCTTTCCCATGCAGGATAGGCATAGATTCCTTCTCCAATATATTCTTCCTGCCTCCTTTCTTGAGGGAATTCTTCATAGTGTCTGTTCTTTGGAGGACTCCTTTAGTATGATCCAGTGTCATTATTGATTTCTGCTTATATGATTTTATATAATTACCAGGGATTAGGATACAGTACAGAGATGTGTCCGTGTATTCCCTGTCCTCAGTTTTGATCTAACCTCTCCATATTTTATTTTTATTTATGTGTTTAGTAAATAAAAATGTAAACTCAGCTACATTGCAAGTTTCTTGAGGACCTAATACTATACTATAACCTCAGACATATTTATATCTCTCACAATTTAATATATACTGTCTGCTTGAGTCTCTCTTTTATCCAGCCTGCCTTTGATGGTTTCTACATATAACCTATCTACTTTGTGTTTAGATAATGAAAGTTTTAAATATGAGCCTAAGCTAATGATGGTTAAAGACAATATTCATAGCAATAATATATTTATTGAGGATTTGTAAGGGTGAAGCTAAACTTTATATGCAAAATAAACCAAAATCAAAAAACAAATGAGTAACAGAGGCAAAATCTAGACTAAATTTTACTCCAGAGAGTATGCTTTTAAGCATTGTACCTACTGCCTCCTAGGAAGGCATATTTGCTAGATTTCAAAGTCAAATTGCTGATGTGCATTATTCACAGCTTATATGTTCTAATGGGTTTGAGAATCTCTGGCATAGAGCTAAACCTAGACTCGGTACTTTACGGAAGTTACTACATTGGAATAGAAGTAATCACCATTGCTTTTTGTTATTATCTGATATAGTTGATGATAAACACTTTTGATTTCCTTTTAATTGAACTATAGGTCATAGTGTTACAGACTTACTATAGACAGTGGCATGCTAAAGTCATAGTAAAGGATTTAAAAAGACAGAAAATGTTAAGGTTGAAGTGGGAAGCAGAGGAAGAACTAAGGAAGAAAAGAGAAAAAGAAGAATGGATTAAATTGGACTATTACCGGAGGCATAATCCTCAAACAAAAGAAGATTTTGAAGTTCTCTATAATGCACTGGAACGTAAGTTTGAAACAGCCTTTGTGTACAATAATAATTTTATAATTTTTCACTAGTAGAAAAAAACAGGTTTACTAAAGACAAAAGGAAGATATTATTTCAGGATGATGTCATTTTGGATTAGAGAATTTATTTTTTTTTTATTTTTTATTTTTTTGGATTAGAGAATTTAAAGAGATGAATAATGTTTTATATTCGGGACAGGAATTAAGGCAGGAATGAAATTGGGAATGCCTTTATGTTAACAATGGATAAATAAAATGTGCATACTGCTCTGTAAATTCTGTGGTTTTAGTGTGTTATCTCATTTGATCATCCCTGTGAGGTAAAAAGAAAAAGAAGTATTGTCCAATCTGGGTCTCTGATGGTCTTGGGAAATTGTGAATTCAGAGTTGAACCATTTGGAATCTCTCAGTTCAGCATCCTGTCTCTGATTCTGCTCTTTAGAGAGGGTACGGGTAATATCTTTTAATTACCACCCATTAATGATCAATATAAATGTATATTCTCGACGCAAGTGACTTTTATGCTTTGTTTCTTCCACGAGATGTGTGCTAGTCATTGGCACAATTAAAATCTTCAGTTACTTGACCGATCAAGCACTCCCTACTCAGGGCAGTAGATACACTTTTCTTGCAGCCTTTTCCCATTGCCCCCTTCCAATCTCAGCTTAAATGTCACTTACTCAGAGGCTTCTGTGACTAACAGGAGAACTTGGATTCTCCCCAAAGTTTTCATTTATGTCATCACCACAATTTGTAATACATCTTTTTAACATTAATTTTCCCCACTGGACTGTAAGCTCCATGACACAATAACTTGTTCTTTTTTTGGATGATCTCTCTTTTTCTGTGCTCAGCTCACATGCTCAACAAATACTGACAGAATGAATGATTGTCGATCAAGTGGAAACCCAAAGATGTTGTAATGCAGCATCTGTAGCTTGAGTAACAGAACATATCATTGAATATAGTTTTAGGTGTCCGATACTGGGTCTGTTTACATAGCTATATGGTAACATGCTATTTACCAAAAGATGATTCAGTCAAACACTAGGTCTGACAAGCAATACTAATACATTTATCTCTTTGTAACATGCAAAATCGAGTGGCTTTAGGAATGTGGCACAGCTGGAGGTGACAGCCCGCTCCCTTGGCTTTGCCTCCACTTTCTCCTAATTGTTGGCCTCTGCAGATACTTTGTTTTACTTTAAACTTCACTTCTATTTTCATTTTCTCTCAGATGAAAACAAAATTTGTTTCAAAGTGTTAAGAGTTAGAACTGTTGGCAAGGTGTCTATGAGAGGCCTTGTTCACAAGTATAAAACTACAGTTCTGTTATAGCAGAACTCTTCTCAGATAATATTTCAAATTCACATATGAACAAACTAAAGGATATTGTTACTTTGTTCGGTTGACAGGTGGTTGTGCAAAACAACAGAAAGTTTGCTGAATGAGGTCCCACCTTTCCTACTTATTGGTGGCTATTAACTTGGACAAGTCACTCACTTCTAAGCTCCAGGTTCTTCATCTACAAAAAGATTCCATGATCTCTGGCACATTTACCTCACAGGACTTTATAAAAAGAAAATAAGTACTGCATTTATGAAAGTACTTTTTTATAAGTTTTTTAAAAAGATTTTATTTATTTATTCATGAGAGACACTGGGAGAGAGGCAGAGACACAGGCAGAGGGAGAAGCAGGCTCCATGCAGGGAGCCCGACGTGGCTCTCGATCCCGGGACCTGGGGCCACAACCTGAGCCGAAGGCAGACGCTCAACCACCAAGCCCCCTGGGTGCCCCTGTGAATGTACTTTATTTATTTTTTATGTACTTTAAAAGTGCAAAGACTTGTGCATATATGTTACTGTTATGTGATAAATACTTTTATACAGATTTTCTATATTAAAATAGAACACACATAGTTTGTATGTATAGACATGATTTATGTGGAAGAAAATGAAATTTCTTACATAAAAGAGGCATTTTTTAAGTTTTCTTCCAGCCCTAAAATTCTAAATTAAAACTCTCAGAGTAATAATTTTTAGGTTGTTTTGTTGTAGTCTTTGAAGCTACTGCCCTCCTGTGGCTCATGGTGACAATTGCATAGTTTGAATTCTAACTCCTAACAGGAAGTTTAGCTTTTCCTCTGGGTTCTGTCCCTCAGTAATAAAGGCAAAATATATCACTTTAGGAAAATGAATTTAACTATGTAAGATAATATAATGTATCAAAGTCAAAGCCGTTTCCAGGAACACTTTTATTTTCATGTTGTTGTTTTTTTTTCCTTTCCTTATGAGAGCAGTATGTTGAAGGTGACTCCTTTCATTGATCCGAATTGTCACTCTCACTTCAGATTCAGCATAGGAGTCATCGTCTTTAGGAAACTTCTCTTGACAGCACGAATTGGGCCCAGAGCCTCTTTTCCTTGTCCGTGATTCTCTGTAAACATTGCTTCTTGTGATCCCGGGTGGCTCAGTGGGTTAGCGCCTGCCTTGGGCCCAGGTCGTGACCCGGGTCCCGGGATCGAGTCCCATGTCGGGCTCCCCGCATGGAGCCTGCTTCTCCCTCTGCCTGTGTCTCTGCCTTTCCCTCTCTGTGTCTCATGGATAAATAAATAAAATCTTTAAAAAGAAACATTACTTCTTTAACTGTCTACATTTGTGCCAAGGATCCCTGATAAGAGCCCTGCTCATTATATCTAGTGAGTATCTGTTGAATTGAATCTGCTGACCCTCTGCCTTGTTTTGACTTGTGCTGATGGCAGCTTCTGACTCTTCTCTAATTATTACTTCGTGATCTCAAGGGAGTCCACTGTCATAATCTGGCTCTGGGGATTCGGCCCGAATCTTCCTTGGTTCTCTCCATTCAGGCTTTCAGTCCATGAACGAGAATTTTAAAAAGCATATGCATATAAACTATAGTGGTGGACAAAATCTTGTATGTTCTGTTCTTTCTTTTTCGGAAATTGCAAGTTTAGATCTCAGAAATTTTAGAATGTATATAGACTTTAGGGCTAGTGCTATCCTTTCATTTTATAGTTGAACTTCAGACCCTGGAAATTGATGATTTGTCCAAGAAGATAAGTTAAGGAGACAGAATAAATATATTCTTTCAAATGCACTAATCCCTTTAAGATCTTTTTCTTTAAAAATATTGGTGGCTATTGACATCTGTAATGGGCTGATGGCTCCTCCAAAATTCATATATTGAAGTCCTAACCCCAGTACCTCAAAATATGACTGAGTTTGGAGACAGGACCTGTGAAAAAGTAATTCAGAAAAAAAATAAGGTCCTACGTATGAGCCCTAACCGACATAGCTGATGTCCTTAGGAGAGGAGATTAGGACACATACACACAGAAGGTCACGTAAAGACCCTGGAGGATGGTGGCCCTTTAGGCACCAGGAGAGAGGCCCTCAGAAGAACCTGACCCTGCCATCACCTTCATCTGGAACTTCTCTCTTCCAGAAGTGTGAGGAAATAGATTCCTGTTGTTTAAGCCTCCCAGTCTGTGGCACTTTGTCATGGCAGTCCTAGAAAACTAATTCAGTATTCCAGGGTTTTGTTGTTTTTTTATTAACATCATCCATGTTTTATGAAAGGGGGGAGAGTCTCTTGTTTTCTTCAATGTCTTTTCTGTATAGGCCTGGAAAGTGTTCAGATAAAAAATAAGTTTTGTCCATCTACTCTTGATTCCTGTGTGTTTCCATTCCTTATCCATAGTTGGAACATGGTATTTCTCCGATACCACATTCCATTCCTTACCATAGATTTACAGGGAGGTTGTTCATCTAATGGAGAATTTTATTGGAATTGAAGCCCATTATTTTCATTTCTAATTAGCTTCGCTGGATTTTTCCCTTTTTAAAATGTTTTTTTTTTAAGATTTATTTATTTATTTATTTATTCATTCATTCATTCATTCATTCATTCAGAGAGAGCGAGAGAGAGGCAGAGACACAGGCAGAGGGAGAAGCAGGCTCCATGCAGGAAGCCTGATGTGGGACTCGATCCCAGGTCCCCAGGATCACACCCCGGGCTGCAGGCGGCACTAAACCGCTGCGCCACTAGGGCTACCCGATTTTTCCCTTTTTAAAAACCATGCTAATAACTTAAGCAAAATGTAAAGTCTGAATATACATGAATATAAGTGAATTTGAGTGCATTTATCTCCAGATTCACCCAGGACTTAAGTATTAATCTAGGAGAGCAGTATATTGCTATTTGAGTTTGGCAGGATAGCTTAAGTAATATCCTAGTGGCCTAAATTTATTACTGGTCCCAAAGGTTTCTAATATAAAACTGGAAGTAAAATAGGTTTGCTTACTTATATCATTCAATTTTTATTTGCTTTCTGGGAACATCTATATAATCCCATGAGATAAATATTCTCAGTTATTATTTCCAGAAGCAAGCAATTTTTCTCTTCTTTCATATAGTGCCTTTGGATATGTGGATTTTGTCCAATTTTTAAAAGTTCTTTGGGTTGATAAAACTAAAGGATGAACTCATCAATCACAGATTTCCTGGACTTTCATAACATAATTTAGCCCTTAAATTTACAACCCCTTTGCTGGAGACAATTTAGCTTTTAAATTTAAAAATCTTCTTTTTGAATAGACCAAGCTGTACACTGCCTGAATAATGTATTCCCGGTAAGGGACAGAGTGGATTCTTGTAAAGAATATCACTGACATGTCCTTGGCCTGATCAAGATGATTTCAAATTGATTCAAGTTGAGAGGAGGGAGAAGTAGTTTGATAAAACTGTAAAACTAAATATCATAAAAGTCAGTGGTTATAGCAGAAGAAGGCCAGGAACAACAGAGAGAACACGAACAAGGGGAAAGGGCGGAAGGAGAGGGAGAGAGAGAATCTCAAGCTGACTCCCCACTGAGCGTGGAGCCCCACACAGGGCTGGATCCCAGGACCCTGAGATCGTGAACTGAGCGGAGATCAAGAGTCAGCCACTCAACTGACTGAGCCACTCAGGTGCCCCTAAAATAAATATTATTAATTTTTAAAGATTTTATTTATTTATTCATGAGAGATATCGAGAGAGATGCAGAGACATAGGCAGAGGGAGAAGCAGGCTCCCTGCCAGGGAGCCTGAGGCGCAGGACTCGATTCTAGGACCCCGGGATCAAGACCTAAACCAAAGGCAGACAGAGCCACTCAGGTTCTCTATAGTTAAGAATCTGTTTCCTGGTTTGTCCCCCCTGCCCTGTTTTTTTCTTTTGTTTCTTAAACTCCACAGGAGTAAGATTATATAGTATTTATCTTTCTCTGACTGACTTCTTTTGCTTAGGTGGCAAAAGCAGCTATTCTCTTGATAGGAGATCTGAGTAGTATGTGTTCATGGCTGCTACAAACCCAAACCGTATATTTTTTAATACTGGGGAGAGCACGTGCTTACTTGGAGGCTTAATTTATCATCATTTTGGCTGATTTCCTTTGGTTTCTCTTTGTTTGACTCTAATTTTATTGCTTTAAGTTTCTCAGCTTCCATTTTATCCTATTTTTTCATATGTCAGGTGTACAATATGAATGCTTATATTCATGTTTAATTTTATTTAAATTGACATAAAAATAAAATACTATTTGTTGGGATATGATGGTAAAATTTTTTCTGGAAAGATGTGGGATTTTAAAAACTCAAGTCTTTCATGTTATTCCTCTAGTCTGGAGGCAAGAAGAATTTGCACGCATTAACCAGTCTTTCACTGGAGCTGAAAGGAAAGCTGCTTTGTGTGAACTTCTGGAAAAAGAGACCCAGATAATTGCTTCCATTGGGAGACATAGATATATTGCAAAAATGGCAAACCGGGAAGCATTGATACAAACTTTTTTGGATAAGGTTAGTGAAGTAACAATTATTTAAATAAGAATGTACCCTGAGTTTAAAAATGTAGAATAATGAGCTAAAGAAGAGACTTGCATTGTACGAATTTGCATGTTTAAATTTTTTCTAATACAGTGTTAGACTTTTAACTGTGGCGTAGACTAACAGTTAACAATTAACATGAAATTAATATGTTCTTAGCTACAAGGTTTCAGGCCATGAAGGAAAAAATAAGGATACCTTTGACTGTTCATTTAGCTTTAGGTTGGCTATGGAAGTTCGATACAAGCTCAGATGCCCCTTCTTCCAGAAAAGATCTGCTGATCATCCTACTTTAGCCTATACTATATACTTTCATGAGACCTTATTTCACTTCTGCCTTAGTACATAGTGGTCAGTTTTTATTATATCTATTTACATATGTGAATCATTCCTAGATACTGAGCTTCTTAAGCAAGAGCTATCTTTTATCTCTGTATCCTCATATCCTAGCACAGTGGTTATCACAGAGTGTTACTAAATGCCTATGGAGGAAGGCAGGGAGGAAAACTAAGGGACAGAGATAATGGTATGTAATTTCATATTTCAGGTGTTATCAAGAAATTAGACAATGTAGATCTGTTAGCAAGTTTCTTTATCTTGAATCCAGCTTCACCACTGGGAACTGTATTCCTTATGTGTTGGATAGTTAAACTTACCAAGGAGGACGGCATGGACTCAGGGCAGCAGGGACCCAGGGTGAAGGAGCTGAGGGCCTCTGAGGTGCAGGGGACAAGCAAGATGAGTGGCACCTTCCTTATTTGAGGCTGGAACTTCTACAAGAATTTCTACTTAGGCTTTCTCTGATGCTTTGTTTCCTATAAACTATTTTAAGTTCTTGTTGTAAATATATGGTGTCTATTCTTTTTATGCTTTTATGCCCCCCTCCTGCCCCTCCCCCACCCCCCAGGCCTCATGTTTATCTAACATTGTATCTAAACCTGTTATGAATTATAAAGAGTTCAAAAGTAGATAAAGTCCCAACATATAATATTGACTCTGAAGCCAGCTGATGACCATTGCTCTTTCTCACGAAGTGTAGCACTCTACAAAGGTCTTGAAATCTCATCAAGAAAAGATAAGATGGAGAAATTTTGTTCACAAAAATTTTCATGAAGAAGAAAGATGAGGTCTTTTTTGTTTATTTATTTATTTATTTATTTATTTATTTTGTAAAAATTGTTAAGTTGTTTAGGTAGAAACTGAGGACCTGAAGGATCCTGGATGTAGGAAGAATTGCCGGGAAGATGGAAATCTTTTGATTTCGTTGCCAGGAGAGAAAAAGATAAAGTAGAATGAGGAGACAGTTGGAAGGCAATGGGCCACAGTGTGGCTCCTTGTGACTTTTTACTTAAATTCCTAAATAAACGAAGTATTAAGGGAAACATTATTATTTGTTTGGCAAGAGGAGAGGGAACACAAGAAATGATTGGGCCTTAGTGTCCACACTGATTTAGGACAGCACACAAGGATACAAGACCAGAAGACTGAAGGAAAGAGGGAAAAATTAGCCACAAGAACTTGTAGAAATCAAGGGAAAGGCTTTTTGTGCGTCATACGTTTTAGAATTTGAGTTCTAAATCCACAGTCACCTTAGTTGATCCTAATCTATTACATATCCTAATTAGTCTAGTCTTTAAAAATATTGACTAACAGTGACTCTGGCCTACTTTTAATCAGTTATAGTAAGGACGCCTGGGTGGCTCAGCGGTTAAGTGTCTGCCTTTGGCTGAGCCGTGATCCTGGAGTCCTGTCCTGAGCCGGAATCCCTGCAGGGAGCCTGCTTCTCCCTCTGCCTGTGTCTCTGCCTCTCTCTCTGTGTATCTCTCATGAATAAATGAAATCTTTAAAAAAAAAAGAAAGAAAGAAAGAAAGAAAGAAAGAAAGAAAGAAAGAAAGAAAGAAAGAAAGAAGAAAGAAAGAAAGAATCCTGAATGGAAAAGCAAGTCTAAAAAAATAATAATCTGTTATAGTAAATGATCAAATCTTTGTTATTTTAATGCAGATTCATTTAAATCACCTTTTTGTATAGGATGCCATGTGAAGCATCATAGAAAACAACTGAGATAGATTGTATAGTCTTTCTTTGCAAATACTTCTACAATATCTATTCATTTAGGCCTACCTACCTCTCTGCTCCCTCATACCGGCATTGTCTCTAATATTCAGGAGGAGACAGTGCTGATTTCATAAAACTTGAAGTAACTTTGTTTTGTTTTGTTTTTGATTACTAAGAAAAAGTAGCTTATAATTAATCCCTGAAGCTAGACGAGGTCAGAGTTTTTTTTTTTTTTTTTTTCAAATGTCAAAACTAGCAACCAGAGATGCTGGTTTATTATGTGGTTTATTGAACTAATATTTTTTAATCTTCTTATTCCTGATCATAATATTTTCCTGAGTAATAAATGATATTATTTCCAGTTAGTCCAATCAAGGCATTAAACTAATCAGCTATTATGGATTCTATACTAAACCTTCATTCTCCATAAAAGGCTTAACCTAAAGCCTTTTATTTATTTTTGGAAGTATTAGTTAAATAGTTTGTAATTTTAACATATCAAACGTTGCCCTCGGCAGGTTATCAAATGTTAAAAACCCACAAGCTGACCGAGGTGAAAAAAGCAGGTCAAGAAATTCGAATAAAAAACTGTCAGCCAGCTTCTAATGCATCTTGAGTTCTCTTCACCCAAGCTGTGTTCAAGAGACAATTTGAATTTCTGCAAGAGATTTTCCCTAGATTCAAGACCATTTATTTCTTTGATTCACATACCACTTCTCACAGTACTTGTTAGCTGTGTCATTTAAATGTTATTTTCTCCCCCATACTCTGGTGGCCAACACCTAATGGGATAGAAAAATGCAACCGATTTTTGCTTCTCTCTGAGCACCATAGTGCACAGGGGTGTCCTCTGTATATGAACAAAACCTCTTTTCTGTGTAAAAGAAAACTTGATCACTACACAGTAGCTTTTGGGGGGTTGCGGTTATTCTTAATTTGTGCCCTTGGGGACCTGAGTATTAATTTAGGAGGAAGAAAGCCCTCTTCTCCCAGTGCAGTCATTTCTTCTCTTTTGTGGAAGCCTGCTGCTCTCCAGGTTTTTGTTATCTCTGCACCTTCCCCTCCTTGAAACGTGTCTTCCTGCTGTTCTTCTGTTTCTCTCCTCCAGAGGCTGCCCTGTCTCATTTGTTGGCAGCTTAATGGAATTTATTACGCTCCCGTTTTCTGAAGCAATTTAAGAACATGATTGTTGTACATCTCTTATTACAGCCAAAGCATTCAAAGAAAAAAGGAGATAGGAAAGAGAAATAAGCAAAGTTGACACATTTTCCTGTGTCAGAGTAAAAAATAAATAAAATAAAATAAAAATACCTTAAAGCCTGAAATCAAAGCAGCTTAAACTTGAATGAAGACCAAGTTATCAGTGTTGGCAGAAATACATCCAAGTATTAAAAACAGCTTTGTCAAACAGATTTTAAAATATATCTTTGAGTGCTAACTAGGGAAACTCAAACTTCAAATCCAGAATTATTTGATTATATCACTCAGTTCACTTTACTCTGGCTAATTCCTGGTTATTCTTCAGGTTTCACCTTAGATACAATTTTCTTTTCATAGCAACCTTTTAATTTACCTGCAGTCATCAAGCATAATCACCCTTTATTTTAGTTACTTATTTTCTTTTCTTTACATGTTATTAGATTTGAGAATTCTAGAAATCAGTATATATATTTACTCTGTGCCTGGTACACTGACTAATATATAGTAAACATAACAAATATTTGTTGAATGAATGAGTGCATACCCTAGGCCCTATCAGATATACAGAACTATATGAGCAATTTATTTCTTATAATCTTTCAGGAGAAATAAAATTAACAAACAAAATAACTATATAACAATTTGTATTTAAATTTCATTGCCCTGAGTGATTGAAATAGAGACACTGCATACTCGTGTGTGTTTGTGTTACAAGTACAATAGGACTTCAGGTACTAGCAATTTCAGTGGTTCAAAACATAGTGGTTAGGAATTTTTGTGGAAAAGGTAGGGTTTGAGTTAAAAATTGGAGGATGGGGAGGATTTGACTGTTGAATATATTTGGAAAAAACCCAAGAGATTACCAGATTATAGTATATTAGATGGGGTTAAAAACTTGGAGGGGAGGTGGAGTTAAATCAGTCTGTCAGCTAAAATACAATTTAGTAGATGAACTAGGCATTTCATTAAAAGGTGATTATACTTAGATTACTACAAATAAAGTTACCGCCTGCAGAGCAAAAGGTATTTTCCATATTACTGGAAGAAAGGAAATTGCATTTGGTAGAACCACCCTGAAGAAAATTGCATGGGAAGATTAAGATATTAGTTAGACTTTAAAATATCACAATATGAAACTTAGCCTAACATTGCTTATTCCTTAAAACTTTTAAAAGGAGCTTGGAAACAAATATTGAACTTTAGTACACTCAGAGGCCCATCCCAAAGGAAGCTATATCGATTTAAAACAATACATATATTTTTATTTCTAAGTGATAATAATTAAATGACATAATATTTTCCTTTTTTTTAAGGATTTTATTTATTTAGTTGAGAAGAGTGCAAGAGAGAGAGAGAGAGAGAGAGAGAGAGGAGAGCAAGCACGTGCAGGAGCAAGGGAAGAGGCAGAGGGAGAGGGAGAAGCAGACTCCCTGCTGAGGAGGGGCTAGATCCAAGATCCAAGGACCCTGGGATCAGGACCTGAGCTGCTTAACTGTCTGAGCCACCCAGGCACCCCGACAAGATATTTTCATTGAGCTATTTCCCTTTTATAATCCTTAATAAATTTGAGTTAATTCTACCGGTGTGCTCATTAGCAGTGCATTATTTAATATTGGATTTATGTCTTAAGAATATAAATTAATTATAGGATTACAGCCTCTCATTTGTTGGATTAAAGCTAGAACTGAGAATCTAAAGTTTCTGATAAAAACTCCTAGCTCTGAACAGCACTTATTTTGTCTTTGATCAGAAAAATGCTACCATTACTTTGAAAGCATATCAAGTATAGTTGTTTTTAGGTGGTACTTTTCAGTTTTTAGTGTAATTAGCTAATATGAAATGTAAAAAAAATTAATTTAAGGCTGCAACTAAAAGCTCCTCATAAATACTGTCGGTCTAAATACAGCCTTATATTATTTCTCTCTTTGGCTAGTCTGCATTTCTGATGATTTGTTCCCATACATGGGCTTCTGTTTAAACTTTAAATTATATCAAATCTAAGATTTAAGTGACTGCAAGTATGGCATAAATTGGGACTACAGGTCTCCAAAGCAGTTACCATTCAGCTTATTAAAAAAATCCAACATTTGGACAGTTAATAGTTGTGATCAAAATAGCCTTGTTCTAATAGATTAAAAACAGAGAAAGACATCAAGCAGCTTTATACCATAAAGGAGAAGAGAAAATAGTGAGTTTTCACTGGGAAATTTCTAGGTGAATCCATCTTTTCTTAAAATCTCGGTAAGGAAGAGGAGCCCTGTCAAACACAGGCTTAATCTTCATTAAAGATTGCAGTGGCGTCTCCGGTGTGTCACTCGAGCTCTGTCTCCTGGACTTTTAGCCCAGATGCCCACGGAGGAGCTGCAGGTCCAGTGCGTGCCAGGGTTAACCTTCAGTCCGTGGGGTGGGCTAGGTTGGGGGGTGCCACGTCAGATTTGAAAATAGGGAGTGAGAGTCTTGGCGTGTCTAGCTTAGATGGGGATCACGGCGCTGCTAAGAGCCAAGGAAAGCCGTTCGACTATGGGCATCTGCTTTGTGAGCAACTGTGAGCCTGTTAGAGAAAGATTAGGTTGATCGGAAACAAAACCCTAACTGGCAGAGTCTCATTTTGCTCTGTGTGCAGGTCTAGTGCACTGAGGATTAGAACAGTTGTTTCGCAAACATCTTCAAGTGGCAAAGCATGATCCAGGCACATTTCTATAAATCAGTGTAATGGAACCAGCAGATCATGTTTTTAAAGACTGCACACAGCATGCCTTCCCCCAAAGGACTCATCCGTATGCTCATTAAGTCATTCAGCATCCTAGTTAGTCCAGATTAGTAGCGATTTCTGAGTCCTGTAGAAATGTTTACACTTCCACAGACCAAATACCTCTTCCATGTTTTTTTCCTATACTGTTTTGCTTTCCCAAGGTCTACAAGTTCTTCAATTAATTTCCTCATGTTTTAGTGATACTTTTATTCGTAATGCACATGATATTAAGTTAGTCTTTAGTAGAAGTAGCAAAGTTATTTTTTAACCTTTAATTAACTGATAATCATAAACATAATATTATTTTTAAGTGTTCAGCTCCAAAGGTATGGAGAACATTTAGTGGCAAAATAATTGAGATGGATACACAGTTCACCGTCAGAGCCAGAGAGTTGCAAAACATCTATAAATGCATTATGCTGAAAAATATCTCTCAAGATGAAAGGCTGGATGTACTACTAACGCTTAAACATACTGTGAAGGTACATTAATTTTCTCGTCATTTGAGATATCACTATCACTATTAATAAAAAAATGAATACTAAAATAAGCTGTATTAATTATAAAGATGATTAATCAATGTTTACATATATGAACTTATTTTGTCAACAGCTATATTATTTTGGTATAATTTGGGGACAATGTGGTTTATGCATTAATATTTATCTAAAAGTTCTCAAAACTATATATTATGATACATAGTAAATATAAATATAGCATAATGAATATTCTAAACATAAATATACCCATATCTATGCAATGGATGCAAATATATAGCATGGGATTAATACTCAGTTTGATAAAACAGCAATTGTCTATATATTTTGACACTTTTCAGTGAAAATTTTATTTTTAGCAGTTTTAAAGCATTAGAGTATTTTAATTTTTTCTTTATTTTTTGATTTAAGATACTTTTAGTTGAGTAAATGATTCTTGTTGAGAGGTAAGTCTCCATAAATCTCTTGCATTTCTCCCCATCTTGAGAACAGAGGCATTGACCCAATTAGGCATTGACTGCCTTTGTTTTAAATTGCCGTTTTAAAGATATTTGTGCAGTGACTAACCCTGGAAGATAGAGATAGTTAGGATGAAAGGGAGAAGCAGTAGGTCCAGAGGTGAGAAATAAGCATGATATCCATGGTGGGCAGTAAAAAGGCCGGACTGGAAAAAAAGAGAGTGCAGGTAGGAAATTCAGTAGAAATCTTCCTAATTGACATATTTAGGAACATTAGCTGGTTAATAATAATAATAATAATAATAATAATAATAATAATAAACAAAGGATAGGCTTATAAAAATAAATTGTGCATATCTTAATATGTTTAACCAAGTATATTTACATGTACATTTATTTAATAATATTTTGATGGAGGATTGAGGCCTTTAAGCATGACTCAAATTCTGGATCTATTCACTATGGCTGCATAATCTTAGATAAGTTATTTAATATTTCTGAAAATCAGTTTCATTATTTGTAAAATTAGTTGGGGGATATAGTTGTGTATATATATATATATATATATATATATATATATATATATATATATATATATAAAATACAAGTAAGTATAATTTATATATCTCAGCCCTTAATCAATAATAGGTATTACTTTGATGACAATTACTAAGAGACACCAGTGAACCTTAAACCTCAGTACACATTAGAATTGTCTGTAGAGTTTGAAAGAGTGAGATTCACAGAGACAGAGCGAAAGAGAGAGTATTAGAATAAATGAATAAGGATGATAGCCCCCATTTCAGAGAAATTAAATTAGATCCCCAAGTGTGAGGGCTATGTTAAAACCTTTAAAAATCTCCCCCAGGTCATTCTAATATGCCTTCAGGGTCAAGGACCCCTGACAGAGATTCTTGCATAAGCTATACCAAATACATATTAAAAAGTACAGGAGAACATTGTTTTATGGTCACATTGACTTTGCATTCTGACTCCTTCATCCAAACTGTGTTTCTTTTCATCCTCTCTTGAGCAGTTGGAGCAACTTACTTCTATTTTACTACTCATAAATCCTACCTTAATCACTTAATTCCTAATTGGGGCTTTCTTACTCAACCACACTCATTTTTGTGAGTTTATTTAAAAAGTATTATGAATTATACAAATTTGCAGAAAAAGTATATAAAATATACATATATGTACAATTTAACAGATATGAAATCATCAACCACGTAACCTGTCTCTGACCCAAAATCAGGACATTGCCAACATTGCCAGTATCTGCCTTTCTCTTTGTAGTGCCAGTTCACCCTCTCATCCCCTAGAAAGAACTACCATGTTGATTTTCACAGTAGTCATTTCCTTGATTTTCTTTATAGTTTTACCAATATATATATATAAATATATATATATTTAATATGGTTTAGTGTTGTTTATTTTTAGGTTTTATTTAAATGGAATATACAGTATTATTTCATGCCTTGCTGCTTTTGCTCAGCAACATTAATGTGTTAGATTTAAGCTTTTACTGTTTATAGCTATAGTTTATTCATTTCCATACATCTGATAATATTCTATCAATATATGTGTTGTATGAATAAGCCATCACTTATTTATGTCATCAATTTATTTATGGGTATTTCATTGTTTCTAATCTTGAACTACTGTGAAAAATGATTCTACATGCACATTTCTCTAAAGCACTTTATGGTTGGAATTAGTGGGTTTTAGATTACCCATATCTGAAGCTCTACTAGATAATGTCAAAGTTTTTTCCAAATTAGTTGTACCAATTTGTATTCCTACCAATTTCTTTTGGAATGTAGTTTTCAGGTTGTTTAGTGATAATTTTGAAAACTAACTTAGTGATGTTAAAAAATTCTATACTGAATATGTTTGTGTTTTATATAGGAACATGAATGTAAACTGACTCAGGAAATTCTAGAATTGATTGACAGAGAAGTTGACCTTATGATGAGAGGGGTCAAACATCATAATCTTGAAGGACTCAGAAAAAGAATTGCAACACTCTTTTTTCATTATATCAAAACACCTCTGTTTAATCCAGAAGTTGCAAGACATCTTAAGGTAATCGACATATTTTTTCTTGTATTCCTTTCTCAGAATTGAATTCTAAGATTTGCAACGGTCAATTGAAGAACATTCAAATTTTGCTTTAATGCTTTCCTTGGGGTCCATGTGGAGGACCATCTTATTGGTGAAATCTCTTCTGAATGATTATTATGTCAATAAATTAAACTTGGTCATTTAACTTCTCTGAACCAAACTGAATATTGCACTGTGTTGAGCGCATGCATGATGATCTCTCACACCTCCGTGCTCTTGAATGTTGTTACTTCCACCTGCAATGCTGTCCCCTAACTCCTCAGCTAACTCCTGGTCATTTTCTGACATTTGATTCATGACTCCCCTCCTTCATAAGGCCTCAGAGAGAGTTAAACTCTTCATTTATGAGATTCTGCATATACCTAGTTTGTATTCCCTGACAATACTTCTTGTTCAGTCATGGTTGTTACTGAACAGATCTATATAGATATCCTGAGAGAACTTCAGATGTAACATGTATTTGAATTAAACTACCTTTTCCAAATCCAACATGTTTAGGCTTCTATGAGGATTTTGCTGTCTAGAGTCAAAATAAGTATCTTACTGTCTTTTTATTATGCAGAACTATTTAAAACACTTTTAGTAAAGTTTGGGAGTGGTTTACTAAAGAATTCTAAATAGTGTTTTATTTTAATGATTGTATTTAGAGTTATAATTTGTTAAGAAGCTGGTTAAACATCTATTTTGCTTTTTTTTATATTAAGTCTCAATATTGGGGCACCTGAGTGGACCAATCGGTTAAGCGTCTGCCTTTGGCTCAGGTCATGATCCTGGGGTCCTGGGATCGAGCCATGCATCAGACTCCCTGCTCAGCAGGAGCCTCCTTCTCCATCTGCTGCCTGCTCATGCTTTCTCTCACTTTCTCTCTCTTGCTATCTCTCTTTCTCTCAAATAGATAAATAAATTTTTTTTAAAATCTCAGTATTTAGTCAAAACTTTTAGAAAAATATAATTTTTATGTTTTCTTTTTAATAGATTTTTCTTTTTTCTTATTATTTCTTAAAGATTTGCTTACTTTTAGAGAGAGAGAGAGAGAGAAAGAGAGAGAGTGCATGTGTGCAAGCGAGGGAAGGGACAGAGAAGAGGGAGAGAATCCCAAGCAGACTCCCCACTGAGCCTAGAGCCTGATGTGGGGCTTCATCTTATGATCCTGAGATCATAACCTGAACAGAAACCAGGAGTCAGATGCTCAACTGACAGAGCCACCCAGGTGCCCCTCTAATGGATTTTTAAAACTTAATTGTATTGCAAGAGAATATAACAGAAAGTCAGCGGTGCCTGGCTGTCTCAGTCAGTAGAACATGTGACTCTTGATCTGAAGGTTGTAAGTACAAGCTCCACTTTGGGTGTAGAGATTACTTAAAAATAAAATCTTAAAAAAAAAAAAATCTTAAAAAAATAAATGTAACAAAAGTCCAAGAGAAAAGTTGCCCATTATATTATTGCTTATTCAAATTGGTGTTTTATTTGCCCAAGCTACCTTCTGGTCCTCTATAGACTTAACTCAACTTTTATATGTTTACGGTAATAGAATCTAATATTTTACATGTTCACATAATGTGTCATTTTATTCAGTTTTTAAATTTACCTTTGGTAAAATTCACCATTTGGGGTCAGGTTTGACAAATGCAGTCGTGTGATCAATAGCACAATCAAGATAAAGAATAATCTTGCCTCCTTCCTCCAAGTTCCCTCAGGCTGCCACTTTGTAATCAGCACTTCTGGCTCCCTAACCCTTGGCAGTCACTGGTCATATGGTTATACCTAACCCAGTGTGTCATGTAATTGGAATCCTACTATATGTAGCTTTTTGAGACTGGCTTCCTTCATTTAGCATATTGCATTTGATGTTCACCCATGTTTTTGAATGTATTGTTAATTTGTTATAACTGAGTAGTATTTTTGTTGTCTGGATATACCAGAGCTTGTTTATCCATTTATAGTTACAGGACACTGAATTGTTTGTTAGTTTTGGGCTTTGTGAGTAAAAGCACTGTATTAATTGTGAATTTTTGTGTAAATTTATCGTTTGGGGTTAAATGACTAGAAATAAGGATTTTTGAGTCATTTGGTAAATGCATATTTACCATTATAAGACATGGCCAAACTTTTTTTCCGCACTGGCTGTACCATGTTTCATCTCCATCTGTAATGTGTGACACTTCCCATAGTTCTGCATCCTTGAGAGCAGCTGGTATTGCCAGTCTTTAATTTTGGAATTCTAATGAATGTGCAGTAGCATCCCATTATATTTTAATCTGTGATTTCCTAATGAATATAATTTTAAGCATCTTTTCATGCATCTTTTCTGCCAGCCATATGACTTTTTGATGAAGTATCTGCATATATCTTTTACTACCACCCCTTCTTAAAATTGAGTTATTTTCTCATTATTGAATTTTGTAAGGTATGTGATTTGCAAATATTTTCCCTCAGTCTGTAGCTTGTCTTCTCATTCTCTTAATGGTATCTTTAACAGAGCAGATGTTTTTTTTTTTTTTATTTCAATGAAGGTAAATTTATCCATTTTTAAAATGGATCATGCTTTTGGCATTTATTTTGTACTTAAGAAATCTTTTTGGAAGAATTAATATTGTTAAAATGTTCATACTACCCAAAGTTATCTATACATTTAAGACAATCCCTATCAAATTCCAATGGCATTTTTCACAGAGATAGAAAAAAAAAATCCTAAAATTTGTATGGAACCACAAAAGATCCCGTATAGTCAAATTCTAATACTATTAGAAGGAAATATAGGGAAAATCTTATTGACATTGACCTTAGCAATAATTTTTTGGTTATGATATCAAAAGCAAAGGTGACAGAAGCAAAAATAGACAAATGGGATTGTATCAAACTGAAAACCTTCTGCACAGAGAAGAAACAATCAACAAAATGAAAGGCAACCTGCAGAATGGGAAAAAAATATTTACAAATCATACATCTGGTGAGTTAATATCCAAAAAAAAAAAAAAGGAACTTATACAACTCCATAGCAAAATAATTTTAACCCAATTTAAAAATGGAAAAAAGACAAAAATAGACGTTTTCTTAAAGAAGACATACAAATGGCCAACATGTACATGAAAAAATGCTCCACATCACTAATCATCGGGGAAATGCAAATCAATACCACGGTGAGATATCCTCTTACACCCGGCAGAATGACTAGTATCAAAAGGACAAGAAATAACAAGTGTTGGCAAGGATGCGTGGAAGAGGGAACCTTTGTGCTCTGTTCCCTGAAATTTAAATTGGTACAGTCGTTATAGAAAACAGTGTGGAAGTTCCTCAAAAAATTAAAAATAGAACTACTATTTATTTTAGTTTCAAGTTTTGCCATTGATCATTGAGCCAATCCAAATTTAGTGTTAAGATGAAATGAGGAAAACACTTAGTTCAGTGGGCTTTTACTTCCATGTGAATCTAGCTATTGCCTGTGACATGAATGTAGCAAAACACTAAAGATCTCAATTCTTTTAAAAAATAAGACAGATTTCTTAACCTTGTGACAGGGTAAATGAATACTGCTTGAATTTAAATTTTGTGTAGAATAGGAAGTTAAGGGAAAACAGGACTTTACAAATGAACCAACTTTTTATCTCATTCTAAGGTAAGTTAGCCCTAGTGCTTCCCGTGGTTGGTATATATGGCCTGACTTTTATGGTTTTCTTAACTTTTGTTGTTCTCTACTCTTTAGGTCCCTCAAGACCCGCTGATGTTTTCTAAGAAGGTGGACTTCTGCCGCAGCTGCCGGCTCTACCTGCCCCGCACGGAGTTCGCGGCCTCGGCCGGGCCCGGGCCTCCTCCCCACGGGCGCCCCTGTCGCCGCTGCTCTGCCCTGGACCAGGAGGCCCGGCAGCGACAGTCCTTCCTGAAGCTCAAGTGCTTACTCCAGCGGCTGCACTCTGCAGAAGCCCTTTACGAAGATGACCCCAAAATTGCTTTCCTGATGCAGGTAGGAGCAGTCGGGGTGCCAGTCCGGGCAGGGTTTACTGGAAGGTTCCTGCTTTTCCACAGAAACCTTTTAAGATAAGGCTGCTTTTGTTTATGCCTATACCTTGGGAAGCTTGCCCCTCCAGCAATTTTAGGTTTGTGTATGCTGACCTCATGCTAAAAAGTCACTCCTAGAGTTTCAGCTACTGTGATTTAAATTTAAAAAGTTTTTAAGCGGTTACTTCATTTCCCCCATTTCCTTTCTTTTTTCATTAAAAGGACAAAGTCTTTTTAATAACACTAAGCAAATTGCTTAATCTTTATCAAATACCAATTTCTTCATTTGTAAATGGATATAAATGACCTACAGTCACCCTGAGATTGAGGGTTAGGATGAAGATAAAGACAGTGTAAATACATTTGAAAAGCACTGAATACCATACAGGGAAGGTAAAATTAGCAAATGGGAAGAACCCTGTGCCGCTTCCTCGGAGCTGAAGATGCAGTCGTGACTGCGAAACTGCTCGTGTAGCTTGGGCTTGGGCGCAGTGAGCAGAGATTTGGTGAAAAATAAGCTATAAGAAGCATTGAAAACTTCACGAATAATGTTCCTCTTTTAAAAAACAAACTAAATTATCTCCCCAAATAATAATCTTAAAGAAATATTATATTTAGAAAAAAAATTTTTTTTCAAACTTGTTTTGACATGTAGCTACAAGACATCCAGTACCTGGTAGAGAACATCTGGGCTTCCCAGTCAGTGCTCAGCGCCTGGAATGATCTCAATGATCTGGTCCTGGTCAGGTGGGATCGGTCTTTGGAATGGTCCCCCTGGAACTGCATTCTTCTTACCAAAGACGAAGGTGTTGCTCATCTCAAGCTAACAAGTATTGAGGAGGTAAGAGAGTGGGACTTTATCTGAGGAAATAATTTAATCTTTGAAAATATTAGAGGGTAACTTTACTGCCTTTTACTGCGTTCCATGCATAACTTAAATACTTCCATTGGATTAAGAAACAGAACATGAATAATAGTAACAAAATATGTGGATGGTATGTGTGGCTGAGATTAAGATTAAAAAGAAGCTAAAGCACAGAAAAGGACAAGAAAAGAGATCTGAACATCTTACAGGTACCTAAACTTGATACCACCCTCTGCTAATAACAGCAAGTTCAAGCATGTCATTCCACGGCAAATTCCACGAAGGCGAGGATTTTATTTAGCTTATACCTGTCTGAATCTCTAATACACTACATCAGTGCATGTCAGACTAGGGGTTTAATAAGTATTTGTTGAATGGATAAATGAAATACCAGATATATATTAATAACCTAGAATCTGCCCTTCTTTGATTAGCCATCATGAGTCTGCCTAGCACACTAACTTCTCAAATTTTGTTGAGAATCGTGTGCATCAAATGGCAATCATACTGATGGAGTATGATTCTGAGGCCTGAGGCTCCATTTTTCATTTTCTCTCAACTGACTAGAAGTGGGGAAAGGACTATAAAAATTCAATACCATTTAATTTTAGTAACTTACAAGATGAAATCTGTAAAACATTTTGATGAGCAGAATTGAGTTCATCAGAGAGTTTCACTTACACTGAGCAAGCTTGGGATCCCAAAAGCTGAAGCTGATTCTCTGCCTTCTACTGATTAAATTTCTCAACTATTAATTTCATGCAAAATGTCATTTAAGGGAAAATAAAGAAGTGACTTCAAATGTAATAGTCATTTTGAATGTTGCTATTTCCTGCTTGTCTTTTTATTGGGGAAGGAGAAGGTATAAAAGAGGAGAAACTAGTAAAATTTTTAACTTTTTAAAATAATTTTCCAGTAGAAGCCAGGCTTAGAAAAATTTCACTCTAGGGATCGAAAGAAAGAGCAGCATGAAATTGAAACTGTGTTAAATATTATATTTAGTAAACTAAGCTGCTTCATAAATATTTAATCACTGGAAGCATAGCCAACACTACAATATTATTTCATCCAGGACCCATAGTGGGATTGCAGTTCATTCCCAAAGCAGATACTCTACTGCTTCAATTCATCCACACACTCCCTTTGTGTATTTAATCAAATTACTGCAGTATCAAATTAAATGTTCTATTCACATGCATTTCTAATTTCAGGCTGCCGATCTTACTGAATTTCTATAAATAGAGCTAAGGTTCTCAACCAGATAATCTAAAAAATACTGTCTTTTTATTATTTTGGACTAGTATAATCCCTTAAGTATCAATATTCAGCCTCGTTAAAGAATAGGTTATGTCTTGCCACAAGTTAAAACATTTCTAGAGTTTCCTTAACGCGCAGAGATATTTGCTTTCTCAGTAAGTAAAAAAATATTCAAATTTTAAAATGATCTTGGCTCCCTGCAGTCATGACACAAGTTATAGGAAAAGCATGGGAAAAGACTGCTGTTCTCTGAACTGTAAATGAGGCAGAGCAGTTTCCCGTGGTGTGCACACTGGTCACAGTAGGAAAACAGTGGATTTAAAGTAAGGAGACCCGACCCAGTATGTCCCCATCTCTGTCACTAACCATCTACAGGACGTTAAGACCTGCCTTCTTGGCTTCATAAATTTGTATAAAGCTGGAATAAAAACATGGTGTTGGACCCTGGCTCATGGGTGCCAACGTGGCCCGGTGGACGCCCCAGAGACCCAGACCCCAGACAGGCAGATGCAATCAGCAAGAGGGTTTATTGAACGTTTGCGCAAACGGGCTCTCCGCCTCCGAGGAGGAAAAGAGCCCCGATTAGCAATTACAGGGATCTTTTAAAAGGCAAAAGGAAAGAAACTGCCTAAAGACAAAAGAACCGCGGGAGTCGCATGGCATCCAGGTTGATTTCGGGGAGGGTCAACATGAACCTATTCAGGGACATTCCAATCAGGGTGTGGGGGTGGAAACGGTTTTCTTATTGTAAACAGAATGCTTTTAGTTGCTAAAATTTCAGGAAGAAGACTGGATGGGCTGCCTCTGGGTTAGGGCTGGCCCTACTTACAAGGGGGGAGGTTTCTTCAATGGAATCAATACAGAGGATCGGAGCAGCCCTGGTTTAATTGGTTTAATTCTGGCTCTGTCACTTATGAGCTGGGATAAGTTGAGCAAATTTGCTAGTGTCTCAGTGCTCTGATTTTGCTCATCTGTAAAAAGAGGATAATAGGAAGAGGGGATAATACGTATTGGATATCTTTCCATATTATATTATTCTTTAAAAGTTGAGGATTGTTCCTTTGCTGTATGTACCATAATGTGCTTGTCTTACCTTTAATGATTAGTTTGCTATTCTATAAAGGTGCTTTGAAAACCTATAAAGTTCTGTACATGTAACATTTACTGTTGTGTAACAGAAATACGTAGAAATATGTCCGGTTTTTTTAAATTTTTTTTTTTTAAGTGAAATGAGGCCTAAGGAGTGGTAGGACATAGATAGTGCAAAGGATGAATATTTTGACTTGGTAAATATGTCTGTAGAAAGGAAACTTAAGATAAGCCTGGATACTCCTACCTAATACTCTCTGCCAGAGTATTGTTTGTTTTGGCTCCTTTTCTCCAGATTTTGTTTACCTTTGTTTTGACACTGTGGAGGGATCTTTAGTGAGCGGTGCCTTCCCTTTAGAAAACTAATTTTAGGAGGAGGTATGAGTTGTGTTTGTAATTTGGTTGAAAAGAAGGGTCAGTTAAGATTAATAAAGGAAATAGATGGTATTTATTAATTCAACCAGAATTTTTTTTTTTTTTTTTAAAGTGCCACATACTGTGTTAAGTGCTTGGAGAAAAACAAGGACGTGTAATGGACACAATTCTTCATTGTCTCAGTTGTATTCAAGTTTGGTTGCAAATAACAGACTAAACAACTTATAATGACTTAATCAAATGTGAAGATAGTTTCCATTATCAAGCAGGAAGTCCAGATGGTGGCAGTCTGGGGTCTGGATGGTAGTTCCACTGTGCTCCCAGAAACCCAGGCCCTCCGACTTTTTCTTCAGCTGTATTTAACTTTTGACTTTCATTCTCATGCTTGTGGACTCTTAGAGATAAAATAGCTGCATCAACTCCTATATTCTCTTAAAAAGCTTTCTTGTAAGCTTTGTCCAATGCCTTCTGTTATATATGCATGTGTGTGTAATGGCCTGAAACTTGTCACATGCTACCCCTAGCTAGAATAAAGGCTGGGAAAGCTGAGCACATCACAAAATACAAAATCGGGCCCTTGTGCAAAATCAGGCCTCTACATACCAATGGTAGAGAGAATGAGTATTGGGCTGGCAGCCAGCAGTCCGCCACTCTCATTAGAAAACATGTGGTCTTATACCGTGGCAATGCTACATAACAGAAAAAGATCAAGTACTGTTCTAGCTGTGTAGGGACTAGAAGCCTAAACATTAAGAATAGAATTGGAGGGACACCTGGGTGGTCCAGTGGTTGAGCATCTGCCTTCAGCCCAGGGCGTGACCCCGGGGTCCTGGATCGAGTCCCAGGTTGGGATCCCTGCACGGAGCCTGCTGCTCCCTCTGCCTGGGTCTCTGCCTCTCTCTCTCTCTGTGTCTCTCATGAATAAATAAATAAAATCTTTAAAAATAAAGAATAAAAATGGAAAGGTACAGAGTCTTGATAAAGGCAGAAAGGTTATTTTCTATTTAGAAGACTAGAATGAACTCCTGAGGTGGGAATCTAGGGTGGTAGGAGGAGGAGCAAAGGAAGGTTTATACTGTCAGAATGCCGTCATGATCTTTGTTTTGGACCCTGGAGATAGTACTCATTATAGAAAAAATAACTCAGTCAAAAGTTGGTAATTGTATCAGTGTTAAAGTAGATTTAAAGAGGGGGAACCAAGGTGACAAGATTATTCATTCAAAAATTTTGGTTTTTGATGGTATTAACAGATGCTTACATGAAAGAGACTCAGTTTGAGGGTGGGGGGGCGGGCTCAGTGGTTGAGCGCTGCCTTCAGCCCAGGGTGTGACCCCGGGGTCCTGGGATCGAGTCCCACGTCGCTCCCTGCATGGAGCCTGCTGCTCCCTCTGCCTGTGTCTCTGCCTCTCTCTCTCTTTCTCTCTGTGTCTCTCAGGAATAATAATAATAAAAAAAAGGCTCAGTTTGAACCTTCAAAGGAGTATTCCTTATAATGGAGACACTTTCAAGCAGATAGTGAAATTGAAGGCTGAACGAACTAAATATTACAATTAAAATACATAAAAGTACTTGCAAGTAAGTAAGGAAGGAGGAATTAATTTGGATTCAGAGGTCAGAAAGAAAGTCAGGAAAGGCCTCCGGTTTGTAGTGTCCTAGGAGCAGAGCCCTGAAAGATGATGGAGTAGCAGCAGTGTTCTCTGGGCTGAAAGAATGGGTAAGCAAAGGCTTTCTGGGATAAGAAAGTGTGTGTGTGTGTGTGTGTGTGTGTGTGTGTGTGTGTGTTAACCTGGTAAAGTATATCTATGACATTTAATAGAATTTGATTTTTCTTTTCTTTTCAGGGATATGAACCCTTGTTTATTCACAAGATCAAACACAAACATATCCTGGCTAAGAACTACTTTTCTCACATTCCAGTGCTGGCTTCATTTATACTTGATGATGGTGAAATAGATGAGATCAGAAAAAAATATCACTCAGAAACAACTCCTAAGATTATAGTGGCCCAGAGGCCCAGTCCCTAGAAGATCCAGGAGTATTTGATGATCAGCATTTTTATCCACTGCTAACAGAGGAATACAGAGGCTATACATTATGGAAATAGAATTTTATCTTTTAATTGATTTTGTTTTTTGTTTCTCATGGTATCATAAGTGGTATGAAGACAAAACATCCATATGTAATGCTTTATTGTTAGATAATTAGTGAAAATTGAAATACCGTTTTGTTCCTGAATTATATTTTAAGGTAAAGAGAATATTTTATTTTCCATATTTTCACATTAAAATTTTTAAAAATTTCAAGTGCCCACTATAAAACCAGCAAACAAAAGCTGGTTTAGCTTTCGGCTCAAGTAATTTATTTTAGGTTAAATGTAGTTATAGAAGAATAGTCAGTATGTGGATGAGAGGAAACATAAAATTTTCTTTTTTAAAAATCTATACAGGTAGGATAAAAGATGCTATGTTTTTTTTTTAAGATGCTATGTTTTAATATAGCAATTTGAATCCTCACTTTTTATTTTCTACTTTTACCTTCAATCCTTCCTAAAATCCTGGTAAAACAACTGGGGTTATTTATAATCAAACAAACAAATGCATTCTATGCTGGAAAACAGGGTAAACAGTAGAATTATCTTCTATCTTCTAGGAGGAAAAACTCTCAGTGGGGCAATGATGACATTCTGTAGGAAGGATAAACTTGGTTAGGCAAACTGTAACAGTCCCTTTCCCCAATAAGCTGAAGGAATAACCTTGACCACATGCATGTCAGAGACCTACAGTGATGAGCACAGTGTGTGAGTCCATCTGAACAGGGAGTTGATGGCACACTCAAATTAGGAAAATTCAAGAACAGTATATTTACAAAGGGACTTACTATAAAGTGAGGACAGTATTTAGGGAAACTAAAGGAATAATACAGCAACGCAGGGCCAGTATGAGATAAGCTGTTTCTACCTCTAGTCTCAAATAAACCTGGGGAGGGAGAGGTCTGAGAATGCTCAGTGTAAGGGAGATAACTGAGGATCAGAAACCAACTGTCAAGGGATAGTCAACCCTAGGTGGTCTCATGAACTGGAGAAATAAATACTCTAATATTACACTAATCCCTTCCTCCAGTCTCCTGCTTGCATTTTCCATTGATAGAACCCAGAAGGAAAGTAGGAGAAATAGAATTCTGTTTTCATAATTCATGCAGTTTCAGGGCAAAGAGTGGAGTAGACAGTGGTGATAGTGGATCTGGATGGCTAAATAGAAGATATTTTGCTAGAAAGAAAGAATTTAAAGTGAAGCTCTATAACTCAAGGGGTAGTATTTCTCACCCACGCAACATAATGAGAGAGAGAGAGAGGTGAGGTAATTTTTCTCCTAATTCCAATCAGTAATTAATGAGCTGTTCTCTTCAGTTTCGGGTTCAAGGAATTCAATCTCAGTAATAATATTGGTTCTATATCAATATTTGCCAGTATTTCAACAACATATTTTCTAGGATATCTACAATTATTTTTTATTTAGCAAAAGCATGGCACTTGGTGGTTATTTTTAAAGGAAATAAACATAAAGGAGGGAAGTGGTATGGTGCTGTTATTTTCAGGTTTTCATAGACAATTTAGACCTTCTGGGACCCTTCTAAATAGTAACTTACCAATAGGGTTACATTGGGGAGCATTCCAATCACTAATAAACAGGTAACAATTTAACACAGACAACAGTGGGTTTGCCCTGGAATGTAAGTGATTTTCACAAAACAGTTTAGGAGAATGTCCTTGGAGAAGGAAGAGCTGGGGAGGCAAGCTTCAAGGTAGAAATATTCAGATAGGGACAAATAACGGTCTGTGAGAATTCCTCTATGTACCCTAGGGATGAAGCAACTGACTAGATAGCATTTGCTCCTAGTATGGAAGATTGTGGAATGCAGCTGAGGGGGGTGGACCAGCTAGAGCAATTGAATTCATGTATGGAAAGGGGCAGTACCTTCAGCACTAGGAGAATAACCACTAAGGGGCAAACAGCTCAACAGCACACAGACTTTCCCCCATATTCTGGGAAATGCCTTTCAGTCCTTCTGGAACTACAGTTCTCCTTCTACACAGCTATCTAAAAATCCACAGCAGAAGGGGCTAGAAGATGTATCTGGCTACAGGGACATCAGTGGGAGAGAAGTCAGGTTGCTACTCACTAAAGTCCTAACTCTAGCATACTGGCGAGCAACAGCTTGTTTAGCACTTGGTTCTCCTGTCTCTGTAGTATCCTCGTTCCTCAGTTTATAACCTGGTGACCATACTTCCCTTGGCCCACTAACAAATGAAGCTATAGAAAGTGTTTCCAGGGCAGCCCCCGTGACTCAGCGGTTTAGCGTAGCCTGCAGCGCAGGGCGTGATCCTGGAGACCCAGGTTCGAGTCCCACGTTGGGCTCCCTGCAAGGAGGGAGCCTGCTTCTCCCTCTGCCTGGGTCTCTGTCTCTCTGTGTGTCTCTCATGAATAGATAAGTAAAATCTTTTAAAAAATAATAAATAATAAATATTAATAAATATGACGACTGTATTATACAGATAGACACCTAAGCAATATATATAATAGGACACAGAGAGAGAGAGAGAGAGAGAGGCAGAGACACAGGCAGAGGGAGAAGCAGGCTCCATGCACCGGGAGCCCGATGTGGGACTCGATCCCGGGTCTCCAGGATCAAGCCCTGGGCCAAAGGCACGTGCCAAACCGCTGCGCCACCCAGGGATCCCTATTGGGCTTTTCATAGATGGCTTTTATGATATTGAGGAATGTTCCTTCCATCCCTACACTGTGGAAAGTTTTAATCAGGAATGGAGGCTGTGTTTTGTCAAATGCTTATTCTGCATCAGTTGAGAGGATCATATGGTTCTTGTCTTTTATTAATGTGATCTATCACATTGATTGATTTGTGAATGTTGAACCAACCCTGTATCCCAGGAAAAAAATCCCACTTGGTCGTGGTGAATAATCCTCTTAACACACTGTTGGGTCCTATTGGCTAGTGTCTTGGTGAGTATTTTGGCATTCAAGTTCATCAGAGATATTGGTCTGTAATTCTCCTTTTTGATGGAGACTTTGTCTGGTTTGGGGATCAAGGTAATGTTGGCCTCATAGAATGGGTTTGAAAGTTTTCCTTCCAAAAAAAAAAAAAAAAAAAAAGAAGAAAGTTTTCCTTCCATTCCTATTTTTTGAAACAGTAGAATAGGTGTTATTTATTCTTTAAATTTTTGGTATAATTCCCCTGGGAAGACATCTGGCCATGGACTCTGGTTTCTTGGGAGAGTTTTGATTACTGCTTCAACTTCCTTCCTAGTTATTGGTCTGTTCAGGTTTTCTATTTCTTCCCGTTTCAGTTTTGGTAGTTTATAAGTTTCCAGAAATGCATCTATTTCTTCCAGATTGCCTAACTTATTGGCATAGTTGCTCATAATATGTTCTTAAAATCATTTGTATTTTCTTGGTGTTGGTCATTATTTTTTCTCTTTTATTCATGATTTTATTACTTTGTTTTTTTTTTTCTTTTGGCTAAGTGTGATTAGGGGTTTATCTATCTTACTAACTCTTTCAAAGAACCAACTCCTAGTTTCATTGATCTATTCTGCTGTTCTTTTGGTTTCTATTTCATTGATTTCTGTTCTATTATTTCTTTTCTGCTTGGTTTAGGCTTTATTTGCTGTTCTTTTTCCAGTGCCTTTAGGTGTAAGTTTAGCTCGTGTATTTGAGATTTTTTTCCAAGGCTTGTATTGAAATGTACTTCCCTCTTAGGACCACCTTTGCTGTATCCCAAAGATTTTGAACAGTTGTGCTTTCATTTTCATTAGTTTGCATGAATCTTTTTAATTCTTTAATTTCCTGTTGACCCATTCATTCTTTAGTAGGATACTCTTTAACCTCCATGTGTTTGAGTTTCTTCCAAGTTTCCTCTTATGATTTAGTTTAAGTTTCAAAGCATTGTGGTCTGAAAATATGCAGGGGACAATACCAATATTTTGGTATCATTGAGACTTGATTTGTGACTCAGTATGTGATCTATCCTGGAGAAAGTTCCATGTGCAGTCAAGAATAATGTGTATTCTGTTGTTTTAGGATGGATTATCCTGTATATATCTGTAAAGTCCATCTGGTCCAGTGTGTCATTCAAAGCCTTCGTTTCTTTGTTGATGTGCTTAGATGATCTGTCCATTGCTATAAGTGGGGTGTTGAAGTCCACTACTTTTAATGTATCATCTATTTGTTTCTTTACTTTGGTTATTAATTGGTTGATATAATTAATTGGCTGCTCCCAAATTAGTAGCATAAATATATATAATTGTTAGATCTTCTCGTTGGATAGTATGACATAGTGTCCCTCTTCATCTCTTACTTTGGTTTAAAATCTAATTTGTCAGGAACACGACAGGGATGCCCATTCTCACCACTTTTGCTCAACATAGTACTAGATGACCTAGCCTCAGCAGCCAGACAACAAAAAGAAACAAAAGGCCTTCAAATTGGCAAAGAAGAAGTCAAATTCTCACTCTCTGTAGGTGACATGAAACTGTACGTGGAAAACCCAAAAGATTCCACTGCAAAATTGCTATAACTCATACAACAGTTCAGCAATGTGGCAGGATACAAAATCAATGCACAGAAATCAGCTGCATTTCTATACACTGACAATGAGGCTGAAGAAAGAGAAATTAAGGAGTCAATCCCATTTACAACTGCATCCAAAACCATGAGATATCCAGGAATAAACCTAACCAAAGAGGTAAAGGATCTATACTACACTTCTGAAAGAAATTGAGGAAGACACAAAAAGATGGGAAAAGATTCCATGCTCATGGATTGGAAAAGTAAATCTTGATATTTGTAAATGATGTATCAGATAAAGGGCTAGTATCCAAGATCTAAAAAGAATTTATTAAACTCAACACCAAGAAACAAATAATCCAGTCAAGAAATGGGCAGAAGAGAGATGCCTGGGTAGCTCAGTGGTTGAGTGTCTGCCTTTGGCTCAGGGCATGATCCCAGTT